TTCATTAACACCTCCCCCCCTGGTTCCTTGTCCTCCATTGTTAGGTTTATTTAGGTTAGTTTTCAATACATTATTCGGGTTAAGTTGTAGCAATTTCAAACGATATGGTTATACTTATACTATATGTTGGGGGAGACAGAAATCTGGGGAGTGGGTAGCCTGTTCCTTTTCGAAGGTTTCTCTTCGGGTCTTCCAATTACCCCTTTTTACCTACTCTGCGAACCCCCTCTCCGTTGCCTCCTCCCGAGTGAGAGGTCCTGCCTGGTACGTTATCTACAAAGTTATTTAATTTTTCTATTATGGGTAGGGTTTCGAACCTTTTACGGTATGTCATACATTCTTCCTTCTTACTTCTACCCCTAGGGGGCTTACCTACAGTTGTTAGGGAGACCCACGGTAATTTCTCCCTCATTCCACTCGTAGTCCGTCCTGGTGTCCGTTCGTCCGTCCCCTGGGTGGTCGGGGTAGTCCCGTGGTCTGTGTCGTAGTCCCGTTCTGGTTGTCCGTATGGTCCGTCCTACGCGTGTCGTTGTCCGTCCTGGTGTCCCGTTGTCCGTCCCTGGCGTGTCGTAGTCCCCGTCCTGGTTGTCGGTAGTTCCCGTCCGCAACATAAGCAGCTGCATTAAACTCCAGAGCAGCCGTCAGCTGTGTGTGACACAGCTCCTCCTGCGGGGTGTCAGGTTGAAGGTGTCAGTCACATGACAGCCCTCACATGCTCTTTTACATCAGGCATCACGATCTTACGCAGGCTGACATGCAACACTCACACTCTCCTTGCTCTGCCATGCAGGCATATTTCTGAGGATTGACAATGAGTGATATGCGTAATGAGGATCACATGTTTCACATGACTAGGCCTCCACCTGGGGACTTCCAGTTGCCTTATCATGCCTTGAAATACAACATGGGTGTGACAGCGAATGTCACATGAGGCCAACTAGAAAATACAAGAATCAGTTTCAGAAGATAACCCCATTTGACTCAGTCATATGAAACAAATAGATCAATTATTAAACTAATTTTAACATATGGCTGAGAAATAAAGTACTTCATCATTTAAAGTGTGGCAAGCTGAGTATCCCTTATATTTATTATACGTACTAATTCAACAGGTACAGATGTACCAATATCGTGAGATATAAAAACATTTGAAGAAATGTTTTATATACTATGTTTCTTTGGTCTCTTAAAGCGCACTCCACACTATCTTTTCACATTTAGTTGGCGTACACCAGCCCTCTCTGGCGTGCCCTGCTTCCGCAGTGTAGCTTTCTTATTTTAGCCCCGCTGTTGTGGCACATTCCCCAGGAGGAGATAACAGCGGGCTGGAGCCCTCTCTCTGGCTGCTATAGACACCACACAGGAAGTAGCAAATGGATGCCTTGTAAGTAGTCCAGTCCATCTTAGTTTACTGTCATTAAAAACACTTACGTCGTACTCTATAATATTTTAGATCGAAGTCACCTACGAGCGTACTACATACTGATAAGATTCACTTCAGCAATAGACACAGTTCTGTCTATGTTTGGTAAACAAAAGCAGCATTGAAATGCAAGGTTATACTGTAGAAGTACTTTACCAACAAAATAATCATTTGTATTTCATATTTATTCTGCATTACCTTGAAATACTAAAGGTTTTCAGCATTTCAAATGGAGATTTTCCTTTATAAAAAGGTTATTATCACATTTAACTGGATAATATTAACATTTAAAAGACATAACGTTATGAAACTGGGGTGACCATTTCTCTCAAATTCTATTCCATTTTATAGACCAAACAATTAATGCCCCGCTAAAATACACATTTTAATTGTGAGCATTAAAACTGTAAGTCCTACATTAACAGCAGAATAATTGGTGGTTTTTCAGAGGTGTAAAGGCTGCTCTTAAGGTAACGGATTAACCCAGGTGGCGACTCACGCTTGCTTTTTATATTGCAATTTACTGCGAGCTGTGTTAACATAACACCCATAAAACCAGATCCTCTCAGTGGGGGCCCCCTGAGGAGTCGACACGGTGGCTTCAGTCATGTGGGCCGACGGGGAGCAACGTGATCGTTATTGGTTGAAGTCAGAGCAGAAGCAAAGCTGCTACAGATTCAACAATACAGCTTTCTCTGGCCAGCTGCGTAATACAATGTTTCCCAACTGTTAATTGCATTTTGAATTGGTGCACTGGTCAGAACTGGAGTGTTGATTGTGAAGCAATAAATGATATAGTCAAGTCAACCAAATTAGCAACAAGGGGGTCAAATCAATTTCTAGAAACACCATAATACAGGCAACAAGGGAATGATCAGGAACCCAAAAAAGGCAAGCTCACTCACTGCATGATGGCAAAACATTTAAATGTGCAGTCACAATTCAAATGGACATGCACAATGATGCATAGAAGCACACAGACTACTGCAAATGTCTCATGTAGATGTCAGCAGCTACACGGTTGACTCTCCAATGTGTGGACGCTCTGGATCAAAGGACTGATATAGGCTGGAGGTATCACCAGGCTGTATATTCTGCCTTTAAGATGAACTATGTCCTTCACCGCTACATTTGGGCGTTCATCATTAGGACAGCTCCTCTCATCTACTCCACCGAGGTCAGACCGGCTCTAAATCAGGAGCTGTAAAGTCTGTGATAAAGAGCCACTTCAACGTCTCACAGTGTGTCCCTGTGACACATCAAGCATTATGAGCTAACACATTATACCAAAGCCGCCTTAAGTGCGCATGGTGGTCGGTGCTTTTTGTTTGATATCCATTTTTCTGTCAATGTTCATCCACACATAAGAAAAAACATCATCTTAGCATGTTCTGACTGTCCCAACTTCAGGCAAAATAACTCCTGTCGATTAAATAACGTTTTTAAAATGGAGCAGCTATTCTGAAGAGACTCCCTTAGGATACAAACTGACACTGCATCAGATTGAGTGGCTATGAATTACTTTACCTCGTTGACAGGAATACAAACAAATCGTATTTATTTCACTGTTTTAACATTTAAATGAAATAACACATAATTAGCAGACACAATGCATAATGCATGGTGCAGTTGGTGCAGTATTTAGCAGCGTGATATTTAAGGTAATCTCAACCCTTCACACATAGCTTACCACTTTGGTCAGTGTGCTGTCAATTTGTCGTGCATGCATTTGTGAAACAAGAAACCAGGACCATGTAATCGGCACCAAAACTATATGCAGAGCCTCAGCCCATCACAAACTGCCTTCACCACCTACTATGTGTGTATATATATAGGCTGGGAACATGTTCACACTAAAAGAAAACTTGAAAATGTATTGTTTAAAAAGGTGTACCAGCATGTGACTCATGAAAGTATAGATTGACTGTTAACATTAAGCATCTGAATCCATGATTGCTGGACTAAAACGGAGCAGGTGAAGACATGGCACATTACCGGACAGACATGACGCCTCGGACTGATTCCTGCTTCCTAGCCCATCCTGCTCCTTCTTTTTCTTGCTCCTCCTCAGGCTGCCAAACCTCTTCATGAAACACAGTGGGTTGTTGGTTCAAAACTAAATCTGACCATGACCATCTGCATCACGAGAGGGGTGCGGTGATGTCTGAAGTGAAGATCACACCATTTGCTAGTTGAAAATAAACTAAGTTGAAAAATATATCAAACTGCTTTCCACAGATCTGGAGGCTGTTTTCCTTTCTAGAGAAGAGGGATGGTCCTTTTTTTTTTATAAAAAGAGGAAACTGGTCACCTTTAGTCGATGGATGAACAATGTAAAATAAACTACTTGGTTACTTCATGAAGGAATCCACCTACGTAGTTGCAAACAGAAAATGACAACTGCAGCAAGTCACCAATATAGGCTAAGCTTTCATATCCAGGCAAGAAGAAAATCCTCCAGGGCTACGGAGCACAGAGCCAGCAGGGAGAAGGGTTCTGTGTCGTTTGAGTATAAAAGCTGTAATTTCCACACAGCTTCAGCTAAGAAATGTCACTGTCGCAAGTGATGCAAATAACTGGGGACTGGAGTGCCTTTCCCCCCGCTGAGCAGTGTCAGTGGTGTAAGTTGTCAGGTGCAGCTGTGGGTGGCGTCTCTTTAATAGAGCACGCATGTCAGCAGCCTGAAAAAGGAGGCCAGTCCGTGAAGGAAACACCAGCGATTGGCTCAGGCTGCACTTCCTCCCGCCTCCTTTCCACTGCCCTCCCTCTACCAACAAAGGAACAGGACATCTGTCTTACTTTGTCTTCACAGCATTAGAGGATAACACAATCTCAGCATTGTCTGAAATGAAAACTACAAATAAAAGACATAAAAGTGGTGTTTTTAAGATTGGAGTCCTGCAGCTGTGTCATGTATACTCAGTTGTCTGTAACTTTTGGGGAGCTTAAAGACTGCTGAGGCCAACCCCCGTCGGATGACAGTGTGGGGACATCCCATGTTCTGTCAGCTGATCAGAGAGCCTCCATTCAACACCACTTGTCTCCCCAACCCGTAACAGATGGCACTCTCAGTATCTGTTACTGACATTAGCTACAGCGTGTCGAGTACAGATCTCAATTAACCCGTTATGCAAGTGTTCCACTCTGCTCAGTGGGTCAACGGCTAATATGAGTGAGGGTCATCTTACCTCAAACATCCTGCGATGCTCACTCGTGTTTTTCAGTATCCTAATAAAGCTAATTCACTGCAGTTTGTATCTATAGTTGCTATGTTTCAGATCCATGAGGATTTTAAATTGTGTATTTTTTAGGTTTTCCCTAGCTCAGCTTCCAAAATCCAAATCATAATCATCCTGCCCTTGTAGGGTCTGCGCCTTGTCAAATATGGAAAGGGAAAACTGCTCGTTTCCTTTATTTACTGACAACATACAGCACACAGTAGCAACAGAGAGAGCAAGAGAGAGAGGGGAAACAATTATGCATGGTTGTACGAGGAGCTTCTGAGAGTCTGGTCACTTCCAGATAAGGGAATGATAGCAACACAGTCGCTTTCAGCGCTGGGAGACTGACAATGTCCAGGCGATGGAGCAGACGGGACTGAAAAACCTTCTGGTCATATTTGAAGCAGATATGGATGTAAATGCAACTGAGAAAGTAGTTTTGTCTAAATTATACTAAATATGATGTTCAGGAACATTTCAAAATCTTAAAGAATACCTCTATGTTGACTAAAATGGCCAGAAATACTGATGATAACAGGACATATAGAACTGACAGCTTAAACATAACTAAAACAAGACTTTGCCTTGAGCACACCCTTGTGGTGAAAGTAGGGTGTCTACAAAAACATCCCCCAAATGGGAAAAGCTTGTGTGCCCACTCAGTCACTGGATAATATTCATTTGCCGTAAAAGCATTCTTCGTTGCCTGTAATTTTCATCATTGGCCCACATTCACTTAAAGCCACATCATTAGTTAAAAAAGGAAACCGAAAGGATTTAACGTCTCAAACCACATCAAACTTTAGAAATCCAGAGAGACCAGAGGCCTGTAGCCGCAGGGCTTTTTTGGTGTGTTTTACTTGCACACTCTTGAGGTCTGGCTCTAACATAGCTAATTCCGCCAGCCACTGCCAAACTGACCCTGTGCAAGGAAAGAGAAGAATGGGTATATGTAGAAGCCAAAAACATATGACTCATCTCTGTGATGATGCTTCCAGCAGGCCCGTTTCCATGTAGTACAGGCTTGGTTTTGTTATGTAATAATCAGCCAACCAAAAGCATGGAGACATCAGAGCTGGAAATCTGGTTGTACGTTCTGCTCCTCATAAAACAAGGCCTTGTTCTCATTTCTAACTCTTAGTGATGCCAGTATTACCTTCAATGACGTTTCATTTTGATGTGGAAAGTATGGCAGGGCTCCCACCTGGACAAAAAACCTGTAACTTAACCTAATAATCTTGGTTTGAAATGCACTGCTAATGCTAGCATTAGGGAGATACAAAATAAACTCCTCTCTGACTCTGACAATAAACAAAGTCAACCATTGTCTTTCCCTTGGAAAGTTATATTAAGAGGATGACTGATAATGAATCTTTGATGAAACATCTTTCTGCACCTTAAGCGCCCATCTTCCTGAAGAGGCTTGTCACCGTGTTAGCCCGCAGGAAAGTACAACACAAAGCAGTGGATTTAGTTTGATTTCTTTTCACCATGATGAAATCGTGGCTTCTACTTCCTTATCCTCAGAAAGATGCTCACTGTGTGTGTCTGAGAAAAAGCTGCATGACTTGTATTGATGTATATTTTGTCACAAGCTACAACATATCTGAACTCCTGATATCAATCACGTAGACGGGTTCCTTTGTGTGGCTTTAGCTCTGTAAAAAGCAGGAAACCACAACAATCATGATGACATAGATGCATCTATTGTGTCTTGCTTTCTTTACAAAGGTCTTCCTCGTAGACCCGCTCTTGCAAAAGATCACAACATCATGATTATTATTCTGCATTGGCAACAGCTGTCATTCTGTGTTTTACTTTTATAAAACGTTTAAGATACAATAGTACTACAGGTTACATTATGGTAAATTGACTGTATTTGATATCGAGCTGTATCCAATCTTTAGGAGTCTTGAAAGTGCTTTACATATGCAAGTCAGTATTTACCCATTCTCACTTTTTCATACATAACACCATCGGGATACATCGACATTTTGATCGCACGCACTGGGATCAAACCCCCAACCTACTGATTGCCAGACGACCACACTACCTTACAGCCACAGTAGCCCCCTGACCACAAATTAACATATTTATACTTTTTATGCGTTTCACTAATGCACATCTTTCTGAATAATTTTTCTGTACATTGCGTATTCTTTACTTTGAACATTTATTGGATATAATTGTGCATATCCCTGCTAAGCTTAGGTTTAAGATTAAGTTGAAATAGTTACATAGTTACAGTATATCTAATACTATTTTTAAATATATGTATACATATTTGTTTTCCTATTTTGTTAATGATTCTATTAATGCACTAATACACCAAAAGTAAACTACGTAAGTTAATTTCTCCACTCACCTTTCCTCGTCCTGGAGAAGATTTTGATGATTGGAGGCGTTGAGCTGGATGAGGAGCGGAAGATACCACTGAAGCTCAAGCGGCGGGGGGATTTGTCCTGGTGGGAGGGATAGGGGAATAAAGTTTTTGGAGACCCTGAACTGGTCCTCACTGGCACTGGAGCAGACTGAGAATGCAGGGGCAGCGTGGCTGGGCTCCTCACTGACTCGCCTTTGGTGGGGCTGGCTGAATGGATTTGACGTTCTGCCTGAAAGAGACAATGAGGAAATAAAAACAATTTATTTGTCTGCACCTTTCTTAAAGTTAGGGTTATGTTCAGTGTGTAACCACAGTGTTGTGTGAGAGGCATGCTGCAAATCTAGAGAGAGGTTTATTGTGAAATGACTGCCGCTGATTGCACTTTTTGTGGGAGCTTTCGTTTGGTTACTTCTTCTTTTCCCCACACATATACAACACTGTACTGTTTACTCAAGCACATTGCTACACTCAATGTTATGTCATAAAAAGAAAATTGAGAATGTGGTTGTGTGCAAGGTGCAATAAGACAAATATTCTATCTGATCTATAAAAGTGTATTAATTAATTCTGGACTTTCTTTTAAACCAGAGACCTCTTGGACATATCATTATTAACGTGTTTTGCAGTGAAATTCCCTTCAGAGAACATTTGACTAACTAAACAATTGCTTGGCAGAAACCTCTCAGTTTGTCTGCACACCCATCTGTGCAAGACTTAATCAGAGCTGAACAGGAAACCATATCAAATTTGCAGTGTATCCTGTACTCACAAAACATCGTACAGGTCAAAACTTTCTTTATTTAACTATCTTAATTATATCATGCTGCACAGGGCATCATCATATCAGTAAGTAACATCACCTACAGGTTCACTTTAAGAAAATCTGCTCTCATTGGCCAAACTAAAGCATATTTACTCATTTTGACTTTCTGTGTTTATAAGTCTTTGCAAGGTCAATATATTGTAAACACACTGATATAAATGCTTCTCTTTTCGCTGTGCAGACACCAAAACAAAACAGGGGGCATGGCAGCCAATCTCGTTTGAGTCAGCGAGCGCCTCCTCCCACCACTGAGCTGTCTGCTCGGGATGTGCCAACAACAAATATTTTAACCATTTGTGGGAACTGAAACAGTGAAGCTTTATAGTACGCAGCAATCTCCAGCTAGGAGGTTGTATTTACAGAAAACATTCAAACGTAACAGGAGTGTTTTGATTACATTGTTGGTGGATAATAAGCCTGGATAATAACTAGCCTCAACAAAACAGAGTATGCATATTAGATGTAGACAGAACCTAAGCCCTGCAATGCACTGATAATACCAAATGAAAAAGGGAATAATTGTTTTGTCTGGTCACTCTGGTACGGATATTTGCTTAGAGGCTCGCTTAGAAGCACATTTGTGTTTAGACCAATCCTGTGACAAATCTGTAGGAGCGTGAGCACACACCCATCTGTTCTGTGTGCCTCTCCCTCTGTCATTGTGCAAGAGCTTGTTAAGGCAACTGAACTTTCAGGGTTTGTCTGGATACAAACTCAGGAGAATGCAGGTTTATATCAGCATTACATAATGCTATTGGGGTAAAAGTGAAGAATGTACTCTGGTGGATATGAGCTAATGATCGAGGTTTACTCCTATTCTAATCAATCAGAGCAGACAGTAGGAAGTGGCTGCTTTCTTTCAGAAAATCAATTTCTTGATCTTGCTATGCCTGAACACAGAGGGTGTAATGTTACTGTAAACCGGTCAGGGTTGGCAGAAAGGGCGAGATATAATTGAGGAATATCTTTCTCCCTTAAATACACGGCTAAATGTGTTCAAGGCCAAACAAACAAGAGCTAACGTGACAAGATAAACCATGTGCTGGAAAAAACAAGCATGAAAAACAATTGGCAAGTAAAGGAAAATAATGGAGGCACGGAAATTCTTTATTTACCATCTTAGAGCCACTTTTTGTTGAGTCACTTGTCTCCACTTGTGGGGAAGTAAATGCACCAAAGTCCTGCACAAAACACAAATCTGAATGTCAAGGAAATACAGCATTAAAACAAAACTGCAAGTTATAACAGGAAAAATGCATGCTTTCTCTGCCACTATTAAATAGTTATGCATATTTCAGAAAGGGTACATTATTCCTTCTCTTCATCATTAAAAGTGAAAATTGTACCACTCAAGAAGAAGAAAAACATGTTTGGCCAATGCGGAAACTTTTGCAAGTAAGCAAACACAACACTTAACCTTTCGCATACCAAAGGTTGAGTTTTACATTCCACTATGGGGAAGTTCAGCAGAAAGTTTGTTTATGGCCATATTTGTAACATAGGTGAAGTTCATGGTTCATGTCTGAGAACTTCAACAACACACAACTTGAGTGTTGATCACAAAAAAGTGTTGTAATTCACAGGCTTACTATTGGGGAAATGTTTTCTTCCAATCTAATTATCTGCACATGAATGCATCATGAATCCGTAAATGAGACTCTCAGCTGCAGGCACTTTTTCTTAGGTCATTTTCCAAAGAAGGCAACACAAAGGCAACTATTTACCAAATGCTTGTACAGGAGACAGAGATAGTATCCAATAGATGTACAGTTAAATGTTGTAGAGCTTGCAATTGGTGGATCTGATAGATGCCATTCAAAAAACTATTCACAGTAAGCTACAGTAACATGTCATACACCTTAAAGACAAAACAAAAAAGTTGGTACTGCTCAGTGTTTAAAACATACTTTATTTTAACCTTGAAAAACAGAAGGTTTGAAAAAGCTTTTAAAGTATGCAGTAAAACTGTTAGCTTCACAGTCTTTTGAAGGCTTGTGGAGAAAATGACAGTCATTGCCTGCCCAGTATGTTGAATAAAGCAAATAATCACTATTCACTATATAACACTAATCACAATCTGTGAATCACTACTGCAAACAAAGGCTCTTTATATAGAAAATAATAAAGCATGACTTGCTAATTTAGAGCACATTGGTTCCTCATAAATGTTTGCTTATTTGTTTTTCCTCACAATACCCAAATGGTTAGAGTAGGCTACATCTTCTGTAGATACATAAAACAAAAGGTTAATTTCAGCCCTAATGTTAGTTAGTAACGCTGTTAATGGCTACAATGTCAACACATTACAGGACATATTGATCAAAACGTTTAAGGAAGTGTCTACAAATGTGTCATTGCAACCAAACAACTGTTTCCAGCATGGGCTCGCCTAACAAAATACATGTTATTTCCTCTGTTGCATTTAAAAGTCCTAGCACAGAGACAGCTGTCAATCGTGCATGTTCTTCTGCCGCGTTCATGTACAGGCAGATGTGCAATAAACCCTGACTAAAAGTGTCCCTCCTGATGTCCTGAAAAGTTCAATGACAAGCTCGGTTTTTAACATTCACAGCAAGAAGCCACATTAGTTGATACTTCACCGACTCACAGGCATGTTAATCCGCAGGCTTTTCTTCTTCTTTGGCATTTTCTTTGAGCTGTCCTTGCTGGACTCCATCACGGTGCTTCCCATGTTTTCTTCAAAGGAGCCAAAATGAAAACGTGTGCAAACAAAGTGCTAAAGACCATCAACAGCAGCCTCTCCACCTTCACTTCAGCAGCTGCTCCTCTTCTTACTACGTCAAAACTGAGGCGCTGCTTCATCTACCAGGAAGTAGGCACGGCCGCGAAAAGAGGCAGGGCACGCTTCTTCGAATGAGCGTCAACCATAGACTGTTTACAGGTGTTACGTAGCAGTCCGCACCCTCAATAAATGTGTGTCTCTGTCGGACTTTTGAAATGTAAACAGCATCATTCAGTCAGTCAACGTTTCGTTTAAATGTATGACACAGTCCAGTTAATTTAAAATGAGGTCATTTTAATCGAGAGCAAATTCTACATGTTTACTTGTTCACTTCTCTTTCCACAATAATTTCTTTAAACGGTGGAAAAACAAGGTAAAACCAATCGGAGGGCACACAGCCAAGAAAGCAGATTTTTAAAGGGGAAGCTTATTTCGACACAACACCAGGCAGTGTGGGCTGCAATGAGAAACTCCACCGACAGATGTCAGTGTGACTCAGATTGTACCTGGTTGGATTGACAATAATAAACTGCGATGTAGATTATGAACAAATTAATAATGTGCATAATATTCAGAGTTGGGAGAAGTACTCAGATCTTGTACTTGAGTAAAAGTAGAAGTACCAGAGCGTAGGAATACTCTGTTACAAGTAAAAGTCCTGCATTCAACATGTTACTCAAGTAAAAATACAAAAGTAGTACAAGCATCAAAATATATAAAAGTAGGCTACTCATGATGCAGATTGGTCCGTTTCATTGATTGATTACATTTCACATTATTAATCCAAGTCTGTAAAGTAACTAGGTATTGAATACATGTAGTGGAGTAAAAGTACAATATTTACCTCTAAATTGTAGTGGAGTACAATGTAGCATAAATTGGAAATACTTAAGTAAAGTAGGCCTACAGGTATCTCAAAAATGTTACTTAAGTACAGTACAGTGAATCTACTTAGTTACTTTACACCACTGATAATGTTAAAAAATAAATATTGATTCAAATAACCAAAAATCGAATAATTACAATGATAGTAATATTAATCTTGTCCGAACAAAGGAAGTGAAGGATAAAAATATCATAACGGACACTTAAAGTACACAATTAAAAAGACCCCAGTAATAAATGATCATCTTTGATATGCAATATATTAATTATAGCTCTGCATAAGCAGCTTTTATGAAAGGACCCTACAATGTGCTTTGCAGGTACACACATATGTTGTTTATGACAGGGTGTGGACTATTTTGTATCAATAATAAGCATCAGTATGTTAATAATATTAATCCTACAATCCAATGGGAAGCAGTGTACAGATGCTAACATAATGGAACATGCAACCAACATAGTCCATCTCCATTGTATTAGGATGAATAGCTTACTGCAATCTAAATAGTATAAGAAATGGACCTAAAAAATCTCCAGAGTTTACTTCAAGAAAGGAAGAGGAAGTATAAAATATCGAAGACAACTGTTACAAGTTGTTTAGCTTCTGTGACTACATGAGCTAAGGACAGAGGATCCACTGATCAGAGTGTAACACAGCCTAGGAGTGTATGGGCTTTTGTCAGTAAGCGTTGAGAACATCGTGTTTTAGAGTAGATAATAAGCCTCAAGTTAAGCGTGCTCTCACATGGTCATATTAACCTGATTTGCCCGTCTAACAAGATGTAGGTCCCGGCACACAGAATACACCATTTAATTAATCATGTATCTTTGTACCTGCCTTTACACCCCAGTAAGGTTCAGATCATCCACCTTGTTCGAGATGAATCTCAGGGATCACAAGATGATTCAAGAGATAAAGGTATGCATTAAAAAAACGTTGCCAATTAATTTTCTAACCATGGATTTATTGTTTAAGTGTTATTTGAAGAAAAACTGAAATCTTGGGAAATAATGGGTATGTTTACCATCTATACATGTATCTGGAATCAATAATGGAAAATGTTGCTAATCGCAGCCCTAACAGGGGTCACAAGGCAAACAGCCTGGAAACCGCGTATTTGCTTGTATTCCAAGCAATAAACTTCCTCTAAAAATGTACTGTAAATTATTACTAATTATGTATTATGAAAATAATCGTTATACTTTGCTTGGCATCTTCAAAGCTAGGGAAATGAAAGATATTTACAGCTTAATAGTCAACAATTGAAAATACGATAATTGAAATTACGTACACAGATGGATAACATGTAAAATAGTTTATTTTTGTAAATGTTTCTAAATTCAATTCCACAAACTCCAAACCTCATACTCTGTACACTTCAAAAGGCATTTTCAAAAAAAAGAAGAAAAAAAAAAGGAAATAAAAATCTGACTACACAAGCAAGAAAATGTAGCACAAACACACTGGCAGGATGATATAATATCATACAAGAGAAAAATATCCAAGAAACAATTTTGTTACAACCATTCATTGAGAAAATATATACAATTGAGTCTTCGGAAAGTTAAAAAAATACATGCCATATACATTACAAGTTCTAAGACTGTCTTCAAAATTTTACAGTCGACTTGAAATTGTGCACGCAAAAACTCTTCCGTTTCTAAGCATGTGACTTGTGAAGTGTCAGTATAAGAAATATTTCTGATTAAGGAGAATGCCATTTCAGTCCAAAAAAAAGGTAGAACACCCTCCGGTTCCAAACACCAGTTCCCTGTTACGATTCTTCCTGTCACACTGGTTTCGTCTAACTCACAATATCATTAGACGTTTGCACCTTATTTTAAAAGCAATGTAAAAACAAAAAACAGGTAAATACATGTCGGTGTTTCTATCCGTGTTAAAAAGTTAAAAAGTCATTTTTGGGTTTCAAAACCTAATTCACAGTTCTTTAAAATCAAACCTGATTAACAGCAAACAGATCACACTGATCTCTCACTATTTGAAGAGTCTTTCTTTTCTTGATTCTGTAACTTATAACTCGTTACGTTAGTCAACAAAAATATTTCTTTTTTTGAGTGGTCAAAGCATGTGTAAGTCACAAAACACTACGCTACAATACCTTACTTTTAATACAACAAAAATACTTTGTGAATTATTGTGGTTATATTACAAATTCTGTACAGAATAATCATAATATATACTCTCAAACTGAAATAACATCCATCTTAAATAAATTTCAATGACAAACGGAACAAAAACAATTTAAAAACACCCAAACATCGAGAAGGTTAAGGTAGTATTTGGTCGGTTATTCCTATAGTTTTCTTTATGTACATTTATACAATAGTAACAGCATGTCTTCCTCAATCTTTAAAAACAAAAGTAATCTAGCCTTCTTTAACTCAATCTCATCATTTTGAGAATAAAATTCATTCACTCAGTAATAAATACAAAACCTCTCGAATTCCACACAAATCACATGACAGAGACCTATGATAAAACTGACTCATGGAATCAAGTATTTAAAAAGTTTTCGGGTGTGTGTGTTTTTTTGTATATTTTCTTTTTTTAGTGCAAGTTAATATTCCCTTCGCGGTATTCGTTGCTGTACATTCCTCATTCAGTGATGTCTACATTTAGTCATACGGTGTATACATTGACAGTATGAAACAAAAGGGCCTGCCCTTAGTAAGCAATAAGGCCGCACCCTGCACAGTGCTTTCTCATTCGCTGGTGGATTCCGCACCCCATGTACACCCAACAGACACACAGACACATACAGACACACAGAGGCATCTCATACAACAGAGCCCCTCACATATGGCACGAGTCACACCCTGCTACTGTGTTACATCTCCCTTCCTCCGGCCGATTTCCTCTCCGTCGTCTCCATGAACCCACATGTGAATTCATTTATCTCTCTCAGGGCTCAGGCCTTCTGCTCATTCATAAAATGACTTTAATGTGAAGCCTTTTTTCTCTGCATCCACTCTATAGCAAGGAATGCATTTAAGTTTGTCGTTTCCTCAGTTAATCCACTTCCTGCATTCGGGAGCTCCACAGAGGCAAGCAATCTTGTTCTGACCCGCCACAGTGTCAAACTGGTAGTCGAAACAAAGCTGGGAAACAGGGAGAGAGTCATCAGTTTTTAAGTATCGTCATCATTTGAGCTTTTGACAAGATTCAAATCAGTTGTTTAAGTAACAAGTCTAATTGAGAAATGAAGATATTCACCTCCTCTCCTTTTTCAACTCTGCGATTGCAGCTGATGATGATTTTGTAACCCCGCTCAAATGTGACCACCTCAGCAACACAGTTAGGGGCACAAGAGTGGTTGACATATCTAAAAAAAAAAACAGAAGTGAAAAACAGATTTCAAACACAATCACACAACTGTCTCGGTATGAATGTGAAGAAACGTAACTTTTGTATTTAAAATAATTGCGAATTACAATTATGATATATTCTTCACATAAATTAAGTATTTTGGTTTGGATCTTAATTTTGAAAATTGGAAAATGCATTTCATTTAACTTGAGCTAGATTTCTAATGCTACTACCACTACGACTGCTACTACTTAATATTATACTTTTCCTATTCTTTGTCACATGTATTTTTTTTTTTTAATAATAAAGGCTGAAGCATTTATTTATCTCTGTGAAGCTTTTTGATGTTATTGTGTTTTTTGAAAGTCAGTTGAATGTGTGTAAGTGTAAAATGGTTTTTAAAAAGCGTGTCCTTAGTAGCAGAAGGGCAATACAGATTGAATAGGGCACCATCTTGAAAAAAACTGTGTGCAGAACAGCAGTGTCGTTGATTTGGAGCTGCAGGACAACGTTATTAAATGTTCTCTTTAAAAATGTCACAATAAGCAAAGGAATCTCACAGTACCTTGCTAGCCCTCCAGTTCGAGTGGCATCTACAACGTGTTCGCTGTCGATGCGGAACATGAACACTGTTCGGTTCTGTCGAGGAGAGAAGATAATTAACATGCCGTTTGTCGTGGAAGGGGAATTTCAGCTTTTAATATATTCAAATCAGATGAATACCTGGGATTTGTAGATCTTCTCCTTGCTGACGGCGACCTCATTTCGGAGGACGGTTCCATTGTACTCGATCACCATAGTTTGTTTTTCGATGTCTCTCGCAGCAAACAGCCCCAGGCCCTGCGAACACATCACACACAAAAGGTATTCATTCTGTCCACATGACTCAGTATCAAAAAGCTGAGAAAGCATCTGATTGGACACTGACCTGGATGCGGGAGCGGGCCAGGTAGACATTGGCTCTCCACTCGCTCTTCATCCACCGATATTGAGAAGACCTGGGGTGCATTACTGCAGTCTTGCTAGGGGGGGCGCCACCTTCTCCTTGGGCCACATTCTGGTTAGACCGGGCAGTGCTGCTGGATACAGCTATCGCATGTGGCCTTTATGTGAAGAGGGGGATGTAATGAAAATAAAATAACATTGGAAATATAATAATACCCTTTGTGTTGTACTTGGTGACAACATACAGATAACTAATGTCAGCTTCATTCAAATGTACCTGATCACCAGCGAGTTGAAGGGAGAGCTGGTTCTCGGCTGCGCGCGAGCACTGCCGGCTGGATTGAATATGAGAGGCAGCTCCACAAGAGGGTGGCGTCCGTAACGGAACGAGTACCTGACACAAGCTTCCACTCCTGGGAGCTGGAATAAAAAATAAGGTTTTAAACACCGCAGCCTCTACAGAGTGTGACCTAAGCAATTCTCAAAATGTATATCGTTTAATCTGAGTAAAACCACTAAGAGCGCCAACAAACCGATTCAGAGATCTTGGTGACTGCGGGGACTGTGAGGCCAAACAAGTCCTCTCCTTTCAGGTAAACAGGGAAGAGCTTCAGAGTGCCTACTTCATTCCTCTTCTCTGAAACAGGACCCAGAACTTTGTCCCACACTCCTAATAACAGACACACACAAATACATGGTACAAAATTAGCAGGTAAATTCAATAATTTATATAATAAGTAAAAACACTACAGTTAGCATTATAGCAGTCAAAGCATTTAAAATGATGTTGCACATATTTCAATTCAACAACTTTATTCTATATATAAACCTGCAATGGCCTTATATTTGTATCTCTCCCTTTATTTATACATTTGTATTACACTATGCGTTATTATGCTTCTAATGTATATTTGTGTCATATTTGTTACTGCAAAATACAACTATAGGACAAAACAAATACAGCTTAACAAGTACAAAATGAAAGATTATGCAAGAACAGACCTTTAGCAGAGCTGTCAGTCAGGACCAGGTCTTTGTAGCCCTGTTCGATGACTTTGATGGAAAACTCCGGAACATTCTCTCTGTCCTCAACAGAGCAGACGTAGCGGCATCGGTGGTTGCCATGACGCATGCTCCAGTAGATGCGGCAAGTCTCGTAGCCAACTGGAAAGATGGCTGTGTTGGAGTGGAAGGCTGCCATTTGTAGAGGGGTGAGTTGGCCGATGGCGTGCAGCACCAGGCTGCCCACTCTGAAGGTGTAGCCCAACTCGGGCTGCCGTACCGCCGTGGCAATCTGACGCACCTCGTCTCTTTGCACGTAGACGCGCCTGAAGACAGCGAAACAACGCAGCTCGTGATCCAGCGCCTGTCCGGCGGTCCCCCGGGGCCTGTGGGCGTGGCACAGCATGGTCTTGTCCTTGAAGAAGGTGCAGTGAGCTTGCAGAGCGCAGGTGAAGTGGTAGACGTTGGTGCAGCGCAGGCGGTTGCAGCCGCTCGTGGCTCCGATCTGCTGGCAGTAGGCGCAGCGCACCGTTTGGCCCCGACGCATTGCGAGCTCCACGTTGATGAGGGCCCCGGACTGCGTCTCGTACACCTCCGTCGACCAAAGGGCACAGTTTAGGTGAACCCACACATCCAGGTCTAGATTGAGAAGTCGCGCAGGGCCGTCGGTGATCCCGTCTCCAAACTGGTGGCAGAAACAGCAGCGCCGGTGGTCCCGCAGAGAGACAGGAGGGCGCAGCGAGGCCCCGAGCTTCTTCAGGAGCTCGTCGATCTTATCCTCATCTGTGAGTTGGGAATTCCCTCTAGGCACTACGACCTGGACCGTCCACTTCCTCCAGCGGAGTCCTTTCTGTCTCTTTCCCTGGTGCCAGCCGTCATGAGATCTCTGCCGAGCCTTTAGCTTCACCGTGACTTTGATGGCATCGGACTTCATCTCCATCTTGGATGTGCCGCCTGCCATGGGGAAGGGAATAGGAGGGGTGGAGGGGGGAGACTGCTTGGGCTGAAGCTGAGCCAGGCAATGAACATCCAGCGATGACATGTTGTTGTTGTACTGGTGGGACGTTTTAGAAAGGCTTTCCGATTGCTCGCAGGAAGGGAGAAGGGACACTGATTCCTGAAAAGATGAGACAAGAGCCATTATGTAAGGCATAACATCTGAAATAATCACATCAACCGCATGTGATTTAGAGCCACTGCAGTACAAACCTTTGTTTCTGTGGTTGATCTGGATTGCACAGGTGTTGAGGAACAGTAGAGAAGGAAGCAGCTGTGACTGCAGAAGACCAGATCTTCAGATTTAAAACGGCCTCCAGATTCCTAATGAGGGAAATCAGTTTGAGTTTTAACAGCCTGACTAAGGAATGTTTAATCAAAGCTCGACCAACATGAGCTGCTTAAGCTCAACTGAAGCTATGAAATAAACATCAAAAACATACAATATTGAAATAACCAAAATCCTAAAGATTAAAGTCATGGGGTATTTAACCTACTAATTAATCTGAAGCTGATTTAACTATAGCGCGGGAGATTTACATAATCAGAGGATATATGCATTAATACTGCTGTGCTGCTGTGTGTGTGTGTGTCTATGGTTCCTTAGGCTGAATGTAGATAATCTATCCTCTAAGGTAAAGTCAGGACATCCAGTCATGGCTCATTTAGTTTATGGAAAATAATTGCAGAAGGTGTTCTGTCTGATTAATATCCACCCTGCTGTCTTTTGGAGTATTTAAGCCTAACTAATCTGGTACCTTCATGTGGGCGGGGAGATCTTTGATGGATTTCTGCACTCTATTTCCCAGAACCACCACCTTACAGTTGCAGCACCAATGAGGTCTACATCCAGGGCTGCCAGGCGTCCTCTGGTCAGGTCCTCGAGCCAGAGCTGCGCCTGAAGAAACAGAGAAACAGGATTTTATAATGAACTTTATAGCAATGCATTCTCTCTGATCATCTACAATGTTATGGCGCTGGTCTTAAAGTTACCAAATAAATATGGGTTCGGAAAATAAATCAAATCAAAAGTGTATTTATACGGCCCAATATCCAAAAGCACGTTTGTCTCGGTGGGCTTTGGAGATTAACAAACGTTTATGACAGTGCTTAAAGATCAATAAAATTACACGAAAAAAATAAGAGACAAGATAGAATGTAAAATACAAATAGAATAGATACAAATAAAATGACATCAAATACAACAAGACAATAAAAACATAATAATCAAAATAAACTGCCTATTACAGAAGTACAAATAAATTAGGAATAAAAAATGGCAGTTTGGCATTTTTTCACAGGAAGTAATTATTCTAAGCTTCAATCAGACATGATATTTAATAAGAAAGGCTCTTTGCAATTGAGTTTTATTCCCTCACCTGGGCTGTTGGGATGGAAACGGAAATGATGTGCCTGCTGCTGATGCATCATGGCCTGAGGTCCGCCGTGTCTCATCATATGTCCCATGCGCCCTTGCATTCCGCCATTGTCTCCCTGTCCGTGGTAGAGCATAGAAGGCCGAGGCTCCATGCCGTGGGGGCCCATCCTTTGACCAGCGAGTATAGATAGGGGCCCTCTGTCTGGGGTGCTACTGACCTCGTAGCTACTGGGGATCTTCACGCCTAGGAGGTCTGAAATGGCTGCCACGACACCTGTGATGTTCTGGGAGAGAAACGTATAGTTTGTTTAGTCTTCGTGGTGCATGTATGTAAGAAAAAGGATAGGGATAGTTGGAGAGGAATCTGTTACATGATATATATGCTTACCTCTGCTGCAGCTGGTCTCATTGTGATGGATACAGACACCAGGCCTAGTTTGGAATCATTAGACATGGAGCCAAAGGGGGAGCCGAAGAACATTGCAGAAGGCTCTGTTTTGACAACCTGCAGTTTGATTTCTGACCCTGGAGAATCAAATAGGAAATGTTAGCCAAAACACTGTTGCTGGAGTTGAGTGTTTGAAATGCAAACACAAATTATGAATACATTACAGAAATATAGGAATAATTGTGTTGAGTTTTTCCGAGTTGTGTGGATTTACCTTTCCCATCAGGAGCAGGAAGCATGGGGAGGACAGGCGACAGGCAGGGGGACAGAGGCTCCTCCTTCACCAGAGACAGGTCAGGGTAGCGACTGATCTCCATGCCAACAACGCTTTCAGGAGAAGAGGATGGAACAAAACTGTCTGGAGTATCTCTTTCCTTGCAAGGCTCCTGTCCTCTGTTGCTGGAGAAATCAAAAGAAAACCCATTCTGTCATCATCATGTTGCCTTAGCCATTATCAAAGCATCATTACAGGATTAATCAACACGAAGACAAACGGAATGACACCGTTTTTGTATGTATTTACCTGAGCTCCTCCTGGTTGTTGTGAGGAGGGGTGGGGAGGGAGGCTGGGACATCCACAGTTTTGGGCCCCTGAGCAATGGCCCTGGCTAGAAGGTCTTCCTCAGTCCTGAATGGGACATGCAGCGGCTTTGGGACCAGGCCCTTGGACACTGTATGAAACAGGAAGGAGCACAATGTTAATACACTGGAGGTTAAATGTATACATGTAGCAAATTTCTTACCACATGGCAAAGTGCTTTACAGGACACACAGATAAAAGCAAAAAATGATCAAAACAAGTACATTTATTTTAAAATGATTGGAAAACAGGTATTTAGCTGAGATTTGATGGTCGTCTTCATAGTTTCAAATAATAAGCAAACTTCTGGCAATCGAGAGGCATAGAAGCTAAAGGCAGCTTCACCATGTTTAGTTTTGAACCTGGGAACAGCCAGTAACTCAGAATCTGAAGGAAAGGCTGTACCGAGTGGGGAGATCTGATACAGGGGTATCTCCTCTTGCACTTTATGTAGCTCTTGTATCTTCTCCTGCACTTTATATGTCGTAGCTGCTACATTGTACTGCCATGTTGTAAATACTTGCTGCTCATGCTCTTTCTGCACATCATGTATTTTTTTTGCTATGTATATAAATGTCATGTTCTTAAATGTTGTATGTGACGGGACTACGGATGGAAATGAGCTCAAAGCTAAAATCCGACATATTTACATTTGAAGCATTATTTGTTTAAAGTGTTCATCAATGTGCATTGTCCCCGTTCAAATAAACGNGAAGCAAGAAGAGGTGTTTGAATGACGCATGCGGCGTAGCGCAAGCTACTTATAGGGGGTGGATTCCCTGACGCTGATGTCAAACTCACCTGCCAATCAGGATTGGCGTAATGAGATTGATGCTTCTGTTTGCATACGCGTTGAGGCGCATCCCATAGTGAGACATCTCAGTTCATGTTACTCTGAGAACTGGGGTTACGTAAGTAACCTATAGTTTCTACAACCAGGGTGGAGGAGAGCTCTCCTGTCAGACTGAGAGACTCAGTGAGGTAAAGTCTAAGTTATCTCAGTGGGTCTCAAACGGTTTGTCCACAAATTATATAAACACATATTTCAAAGGCACTCCTTTATAATTATTAGGATAAATAGAAACAGGTTTGAAATCATTCCAATGTATACTATAGGACAGTAAACCAAAAATATTGTTTAAAGTTGGAGAGATACAAAAATATGCATAAATAAATAAATGTTAACTAGGTAAAATAAGATATAAATGAACAACAAAAATAAAATAAGTTACATGTATTTGTTATTGGCTATGTTAGGTTATTGGTTATGTTCACATAATTATTTGATTATTAAAATGTAAACCGATCTTTTTCATATTGGTGTTTTAGAGTTGTACCCCCTAGATCAGGTCTCTAGTAATTGTGTGCTCAAAGTGCACCAGATTGAAGCATTTTACTTTAAAATGTTCAAAATCATCTTCCCGAGGATGTGACGTCCACCCCCCAATTCAAACATGTTCATACAATACTGAATACATTTGAAGCCATTTTGAAGTATATTACCTATGTCATTAAGTTTCTGTTTTTGTAGTGTATTTGTCTTTTGTAGAGATTTTTCATTTATTCTTTATATATAAAATCTCGCCTAGGGCAGCAAATTGGCTAGAACCGGCCCTGGTAATAGGCCTCAAGAGCCTTTCTTGTGCTGGCAGACACATAGAAACAAATTGGCGGGGCGCACTTTGCACGTGCACACACTAAAAAATTCTACGCGCTTCGCGCTCACATTATGCTGGGCCCACGTGCCTTAGCACCGCTGCTATGACTCCATCCTAGGGGAAACACTGCATACCCTATACCTACATTATCTGTTAGATCATTCAGATTAAATTATTTAATATTCAAAACCAATAACAATAACAAAGATGACATGGCAAATCTCAAAAATATGTGAAAAAAACAAAACAGGAAAGGTACAAAATTGTATCTTTTACATCTTAGTTGCATTATTTTAGATCTTAGGTCTAACCCTAACACAAAGTTCACTAAGTGATTGAATATAAGCTTGCAGTTAAAATTTGGCCAACGGGATTTTATTTGCCAATCCTTTTAATACATTAAACCTTGCTTTATAGAACCATTGAAAAGACAATGCTAAGGGCAGCAATTGTGCAGGGCTAGGATAGACCTTACCTGCTCCAGTTGTTTCTGCACTACACCCTGCTGCTCTGTGACATGTTTGAGCTGCTCAGTGTCCTCCTCTGGGAACTCTCTCCCTGCCTTCTTAGCTGTTCTCTGCTTGGCAGACAGGGCTTTCTTAGACTTCCTGTGAGCCCCAATCTTCTCTTCCAGAAACTTCTGCTGCATTTGAAGTAGTTGCTGAGTCTCCTGGAGCCACTCCTCGTACTGAGCCCTCTGAGCATTGTCTGAAAGAAGAAATGAGGCTCTTTATAAGCAATCTTGACAGCATGAGCAACAAACATCTCAACATTTCAAGTGCTGACAGACCTTCAAACCAGAAAGTTTAAAATGTATATCTTTTTTAGAGAACTTACTGACAAATCCTGGTCCAAAGCTTGGAGGATTCGGTCTCGCTACTTGTGTTAATTTGCCATCCTGAAGGGAAGGTTGAAAAAATAAGTTATCATATGTTGCAACTTAGATATTTATTATTATATTACATAGCAGTCGTAGTTTAAATAACATCCAAGCAGATTCATGATTGAAATACCTGTCCAAGAACTTGTGGAGGAAGTGGTGGTGTTTCAGGAGGTGGTGCAGGACCAGGAGGAAATCTGTGTCAAAGAAAGACCACAAACATGTACCGTTTACTCATTCAATCAGAGTAGCATTTCTTTAAATATTCGTACAATGTTGTAGAGGATGGTTTGGTACTTCACTAGCTTATAGCAACAACTAATACTCAAACTGCCACTACCAGTATTACATTCTATATTATTAAATACAAAAGTACCAAAGTGAACTTTGTACCTGTTCATGGCCATTGGGGTCATTCCCATGTTGTTCTGAACCATGACTTTGTTGATGCCTTTCAGGGCCACCATTTTTGCTTTCATGATGGGGTCAGTGATGGCATCAAAATCTGTAAATGACAAATAATTCACTCTCATAAAATACTGGCAAACAAAAATGTTAAACTACACGAGAGACTAGAAGTTGTGGCCAAACGTATTTACCAATGTTAGGGAAGAAGGAGTCGCTGGAACGCTGTCGTATCATGGCTTGCATCTGTCTCTGCTGGTGTTGCTCCTGCCTCTCCTGGTCCAGAAGGTCCTGCAGTAGGAGCGGTTGCTCCTCTAGCAGAAGAGGACGGTGCAGCTGCCCTTGCTGACCAAGAGCCTGGTTCAACGCTGCCTGCTGGGCTGGGGTCAAACCGCTGTGTTCCAGCCCAAAATCACTCATAGAATCTTCGTCTTCAGTGTTGGGATCTGTCAGTCCCGAGTTATGCTGAGTGTCAGTGACTTGGTTCTGCTGGGGCATGAGTTTATCTCCTTGACTGACAGATTCACCGATTGGATTTAATGACTGCTCCTCAGGCTGCTGCTTAATGAGTAAACTAGACAGGACCGGGGTGGAGTCAGAGAGCATTCCCTGCTGGTTTGAGGGGAAGGTGTTTCCAGTTGGTTGTTGGTCTGCTGCAACAGGGGATTTCTTACAGTCCTTAACCTCGGTTTTAATTTGTTGCCCGGGTGCCAAAGAAGCAAAGTCCTTACCCCCAGGAGCTTCCAGCTTGATTTCAGCTGAGGACTGTTCACCCGAAGCCTCTGACTTTGATGATGCTGAACTGGATGACGCCTCAGTTCCTGTCCTTGAGTTTTTGTTGAGGTCTGTGTGGTCAGCATGATCATCCATAGGATCACTGAGATCCAGTTCATCATTAAACAGGTCTTTCTTGATGTCATCAAGGTCAGGGTCTGTATATGCAATGATGTCAAATTTCCCAGATGTTAGGAAGTCATCAAGGTGTAGGTCGTTTGTCTCTAGATCTAGGTCTTTGCCATCATCAGCATCCAAATTGAGGTTTTCCAAGTCAGCATCTACCAAGTCTTTTACTTCCACGTCCTCGAGATCTTTGACTGCTGATTCTTCTGCATCAAGTTTCTCCTCATTTTCACTGCCTGACGCTGAGGCAACCTCAGAATGCCCAGCAGGGGGTGCAGTCAGCATCATAGATGCTGCCATGTTCAGGGTCTCATTTGAAGCAGGCTGGCTCATGGATCTCATCAAAAGAGATTGTCTGAGTGCTTGGTTTCCTGACATTTGGGCATGCTGATGAAGATTGTCCATGCTTGCAGACAGCTGTGCATGGCCAGAGTGGCTGGCCATGGGGTCTAACATTCTGGTTCCCTGATTTAAAGGGAACCTGGAATCAGGTCCTCCTGGAAAGCCTGGTAGCCTTTGACCCTGCATCATGGGATCCATGTTGCTTCCTTGCATGGCTCCAGGGGGATATTGCATGCGTTGCCTGATTTCTCCTGCTCTGTGTCGCAGCTCAATGAACGGTTGGCCCATGATATTGTGCTGCTGCACCGGCATACCACGTGGTGGGAAGTGCTGGGGCAGCCCCATAGGGTTGCCTCCCATGCTCTTTGCCATTTCAGTAGACATGGATCGTCTCATTAGGGGAGGGATTTCCTGCATTGGGTGTTGCCCCCTGGGAAAAAACTCTTGGGCCCCATGTGGTCCTACAACCCCGGGTGGAAATGCAAACCTAAATTGGATAAAAATACACATAAATAGAGAGAAACAGCCAAGCCAGATGTGTGCAGTGTTGTGTTATTGATTAAAGAAATATGAAACACGTTGTTGAATTTTGCACGAACCTTGGTCCCTGATGTCTAATATTAGGATCTCCAGGATGTGGGCCCCTTGGGAGTTGTCCCTCATTAGGGAAAGGGACACGCTGGTCGCCTGGAAAAGGTCCAGGAAACCGCATTGGCCCTCTCATGGGTCCCTGTCCAGGATAAGGAGGAGGAGGTCGGTTGAACATTTCCCCCTGTTGCCCATGGCCCTCCTGGGGCCAGGGACGTGGTGTTCCTGGGTTCATGTTGCCAATAGGATCCTGAGGGCCCCTCTCCTGCCGAATAGCAATTCTATGTTGCTGCTGCTTGAGGATTAGTTCTCTAATTCTTTGACGCTGCAAAGCACAAGAAGTAGACATACATTAAAGCATTTTTAAACACAATGTACATTTGCAATCTTCAGCTTACAATAATACTGTGCATCTAGTTGTTAAGACCTGGCCTACTATAATTCCACAGCTAATGCGTAGCAATGTACAACCCTCTGGAATTCCCTACCTGCCAGCTCAAAGGAGGTTCAGGTTTTGAATTCTTTGTTCTGTTTTGTTTGTTTCATTTGTTTGTTCGTAACGTCATGAATGGCTGTTTTTATTTATTATATGCACTGATTGTAAAATATTATTACTTTTGTTTGGCGTCAGTCGCTATTTAGTGGTTTATAAGCTGCTGTCCACCTATGACAGAATAGTAACGTTTTTGCTCTATACTATTTCTAAGCACTAACTTAATTTTTAAAAGTAAGCCATTATTCCTATTTGATAAAATTACATTTTACCTACTATGCTTTTTTGGTTAATATTTTTCAAGTGTATTTTGTGTAGCTTGTAAGTTAAAACCAAGTCAGCCACAGCAATAAAACCACATAAAACCCATTATTAAATGTACCTGTCGGAGTCTCTCCTCACTTTCAGCGAGAGCCACACCCTGAGCATCAATGGGAGCACCAGGCATATGTAGGTTGTTGGAGAGTTGGCCTAGATCTTGAGAGCCAGTACCGTTGTTTCCCACACATGACTGATCTTTGATTTCCATTTTCTCCATTGACTGTGGACGAGGTGTCATGGGTGTTTGCTCATATGGATCGTGGCTCGGTGTCTGATTGGGTCTTCTGGAGGGCGACTGCATAAAGCTATCTTCTGAAACACCAGGGTGTTTCGGTGTTTGAGAGCCTGGATGATGGAAAGGCTCATGAAGTCTGCCTTGAGGTGAGGGGAACATATCCTGGCTTCCCATTAGTCCTTGCCTTGGCCCTTGTCTGCTGAGCACATCAGGACCAGGCCGTGGGGTCCCCGGAGGTTGGGCATACGGGTCATTGAGCATTGGTCTGAGGGCCCCAGGCTGGGAAAACATGTCGCTACTTCCTGGCCTTGATGGTGTACTTGTAAATGGATCCATTGGCCCCCTCTGGTTAGAAAATCTCTCTCCCATAGAGGGTCGTGGAGTACCTGGTGGCTGAGCATAAGGGTCCATCGAGTGGGAGGGTGACATCCTTTGTCCAGGGTGCGACTGATGGGTGAACTGGTTCATCCCACTGGGGCGAGGAGTAGAAGGAGCCTGTGAGTAAGGGTCTGAGGATTGGTGATTTGAAGGTTGACCATAGTTGTCATGTGGACGAGGAGTGCCGGGAGGTCGGGCGTAGGGCTCACAAAATGGGCGAGGTTGACCACTGAGTTCATTGGATCGTTGGTTTCCTGTTGACTGAGAGAAAGGGTCCCCGCCTGACTTGATGGGACCGGAGGGCTGGGCAAAGGGGTCATAGGTGAAGTGGTCAGGCCTTGGAGTGGAAGGTGCATGGGCATAAGGATTTCTAGACATTTGGGTCATTGGTCCTGGCTGAGCGAACGGGTGGCCCTGAGGGTGATGCTGGCCCATTCTAGGAGGACTGGTGAAGTTGTCGCTCCCAGGCGGTCTTGGGGTGTGCGGATGCTGAGCATAGGGGTCATTCTGCAGATTCTGGGAGAACCTGTCACTAGGATTTTGACCTGGTCTGTTGAAGGGATCCTGAGCCTGAGGAGGGGGCATGGGTGTTTTGAACAGAGGGACCGAGCCAGACTCATTACTTCCAGGGAATGGCGTTAGCAAAGGCCTTGAGTAAGGGTCGGACAAGATCATCCTGTTCTGGGCCATGCGCTGATAGGCCTCAGTCCTTATCATGGGTCTTGAGTATGGGTCTCTGCCTGGAGAACCCATTGGGGGCCTTCCCTGAGCCTGACTAGCCCTGGGGGGACCCATGGGCTTCAGGAAAGGGTCCATTTCACTCGTTGGCCTTGGGGTGTCAGGAGGTTTGGCATACGGGTCACTGCTCATGGATGTTGGAGAGCCGAAGGATTCATGAGCAGGAGAGGGCCTCCCTCTGTCCTGCTGCTCCATGAAGTTTGTGGGGGATTTACCAGATTCCACAGATATTCTCCGACATGCATTTGGCCCAAGAGTTGGCGGCCTTGGGGTTCCAACCATCTTGGCATATGGGTCCCATGGAGAAGAGGGTCTGGAGCTGGAGGAACCTGGGGAGAATACCTGAGGGGACTGAGGTTGGGAGCAAGAGCCAGAGGGAGGCGGAGGAGGGGGTCGTAGGAACACATCCTCTGGGGCACATGAAGTGGGTGTCCCTGGTAGCTGCGGTCTGGCAAAGCCATCTTTAGAATTGAGGGGCTGCATGGGGGACATGCTCCCATTGCTGGGCTGGGAGGCTGGGCTCTGGTTTCCACTGTTGCTGCCTTCTCCATCTAACTGCTGCTGCTGTTGTTGCTGGAGTTGCTCATTCTTTACTTGCTCCAGTTTCTGAGTTGCTTCAATTTTGGCTTGTTGTTTGCTCTTCTGCCTCATTTGCTGTGGGAAAGGCACAGTGAAAAGGGGGATTAGAAATCAGAAAAGGATGCAGAAAATATCAGTCTCATGCCAAAAATGAACTGGACCTACTAACCACCAATGTCACCAGGGTTAATGTGGAGGATAGTGCAGTTGTTTATGGAGCTTTACTAAACCACCACTTCTTAGCTGTCTTAATTAACCTGCCGCTGCATTCCCTGACTTCATTGCATACACTCTTACCTGTCTAAACTTCCACTCTTGTTCATGCTCTGACTCTTTTGGTTTCAAAGGGTCTTTAAACAGCAGTTCTGTGTCTAGTGGTATGTTGGGATCAAACACCTCAGGGGGCTGTTGCTGGGGATGGTGCCTCTTCACCGTCTCATTGGACATCTGGACTTTGTTGATGCGCAGGGCTGCTCGGTTATCTCTTGCCTTTTGCTAAACAGCAAATCAATCACAATCGCAGAACAAAAACACATCAAATACAAGATTGCAGAAATAATGCACAAAGATAACCTATTCTATCCTTATTATCTGAAACAAGTGTGATATTTTAAAATGTCAGTCGTACTACAAAACAATGTTGTGTAGGAAACATTAAATCCTGTTTCATAGCATTTGTTTCAATATCTCACTTGGCAGATAGGGACTTTAATAAAGGCAGGCAGGTTCATGTCAAAAGATGATATCCAGCTCCCCTCTTATTAGTCCAACTACCTGACCGCAAACCTCATGCTCAAAATGATGGATTTCAGCTACGACCAATGTTACATCCTCGCACATATATACGGGTTGAGGACCAACCAGCATCTTAACCAGAAACCTGAATAGATGCAACCTGAAACAGGGTGCAGGAAATCCAAAATGCTAGTTGTTTGGAAACATTGCTACACTGTCTCTTTCTGACCATATCCATCTTGTTTGTAATCCAGAAACATGAATGGAGGTTCCCCCCTCATTGGCTAAGAGTTGACACTTGATGTGTGAGAAAGGAGTCTCCATCCCTGCCACTGGATTGCCATTTTACCCACACCGATTGTTACTTGACTTCTTTGTACTTTATAAGCAGCTCAGGATGGAAGTCATCCTGTCACTGTGTATCAGGAATGTTAATAGTTGGGGTGTGAGATTGAAAGAAACTACCATCATGGAACCAGTGACAAAACACTCACATACATGATTTATTTTCTTTTTTTAATCAAGGCAAGGTAATTGAAATTGACCCCTTCCAGATCAAATGACCTAGAGTGAACTTAATTACTGAGACCATAGTGAGTTCTAACACACAGCAGGCCTTCCTTTGTTAATTAGTTCATCTGTGAATGGCCGGATTTCAAATCGCATTGGCAAGAGGCAAGACGCCAGATGCGATAAGGGCCTGCCTTCTGCACCCTAATTTGTCAGTTCAAGTCAAAGTGGAAGTTTGATGTCTGTCATGGTACAAAGCGTTTTCTCTTTAAGACAGTTGAAGAAAATCTGCAAGTATGATGGTTCTTACCACATATGGGGCCCTGTCTTGGGAACTAGCTTTCCTCCACAGTTTAGCAATTTGCTTTACTCTTGTAGACCAGTCTGTTGAAGGAATGAGAAGAAGAGTTGTCATGCCAACAGTATCACAGAGAATAAAGAATAACTGTTAGAACTGTGACTGAAATGATGACTATAAAAAACACGAAGACAGAGGAAAATATGTGCGAACCTGGGTATTCTTCCTTTAGGTTGGGAAAATTAACATTGGTGTATAGGACGGGTGCTACAGTGGCTAGCTCTCCAAGTGTCTCCTCCTTCTCCCACTTGAGTGTACTCCTTTGGGAATTTGACATGGCTTCAGTCTCCCCCTCAGGTAGAGGTCCAGGGGTTGCAGGGCCGGAGCCATGGGCAGGGGAGGACCATGGATCAACTGCCTCTCTAGGCATCTGATTAAACTGTCTATCCCTGTGAAGACATATGAAGTCTTAACATTCTGGCTTTAAAGAAACAAATCAAATATATTTGAACGTATGGAATATTTGATAGTTTTAAGGATGAAGGCAGGAAATTACCTTGGATTGTCATCGAAAGGCATACGGTTAAGGGGGGAGAAATTATCTGGGATGCAGGGGCCTGCTCCTGGATTTGTAGGAAAGCGTTGGTTAGGTCCCATCATACCATTGATCATTGGCATCCTTGGGAACATGGGATTCCCTACACAAACGATTGAACAGTGAATAAGATGCATAGATTCTATAACAAAACAAGAAATCAAAGGCTACCTCTGACAACGACAAGGTGTTTGATGATGTACCTGTGTTGGGGTGAGGCATACTAGTTCCAGGTGTGGCAGGGAGGTGCCCTGGACCCTGGGGATGAGGCAACTGTGGTGGAGGAGGTTGGCTTGTGCTGGGGCTAAGGACTGCTGTGAAGAGATCCTCCACGTCTTTGCCCTCCAGCTCTGTAATGGAGTTAAACAGTACAAGTAATATGCATTAAAAGTGGGGTAGGTCATTTTGGAGAAACCAGCTCGAGTGAGCTAGAATTTGAAAATACACAATCGAAAAAAATCTGCCACTTCCTTACAGAGCCCCTCCTCCAACACACACGAACGCGTACATGACCAATGAGGGCACGAGATAATTTTGTGCACAGATGGAAGGCTGACAGGCAGGTAGGCCATCCAGTTACTTTAGACGGGCCGGCTAAAATGATTGGTCGTGCTTTTCAGAGTACTACGGCTTCCACAGATGACATTTTTTTTATGGATTTTTTGTCAAAGCACTTCAGATATTCATTGCTATCGGGTTGTTAAGAGCATTCCATGGAATATAACAAAAAGTGTATCTCGAGCCGGTTTCTCAAACTTACCTACCCCACCTTTAAGATGGTAAAAAGCACTGAAAGATTACAACTATTTTGTATTTATTATCAGAGCTAAATGATTATTTTTTGTATTAAAAAGGACACCTGTACAATTTAGCTCACTAAACTGTAACATTTATTTTAGCTAAACTCTGAATCATGGTCTAAGTTCTATAACACAACTTAATACATACATTTTAACTAGCGTAGTACATGACACGGTTCTAGGCTGTAAGATGAAATGACAAACCTGGAATTTTGTAAAGTTTGCTGAGGATTGATTCTGAAATGAAAAGAATTAAGAGAAAAACAATCATTACACATCCTGTATGACATTTTTAAATAAAAGTGTCTGTATGTCTGGTCTCCTGAACTGACCATCAGTGACCATCTTGTCCAGCTCCGGGCTGAGAATACCGTCCAGGTGTTCCTCGTGGAGGGATCGAGGAGTCCTGCGGCCGCCGTGAGACTGGAGCATCAATGGGGAGCCGTCTGCCAGGGGCCCAATGTCCAGACCAGCTGTGGAAACACACACAGACATACAAAAACAAATCATAACACGCACGCACACACACATACACACAAAGAAACCAACCCGACACAGAACGTGATCAGACGTAAATACACACATGAAGTAAAAACATGTTTATGTTCTTAAAAGCCTGAGAAATGCAATCAAAACTGAACAGTGTATGATTACAGCTCCTTGGGGGTTCCTGTGTTGTTTAAAAGCAATGTTTTGGGAACTGTGAACTTTCTTAAAAAAGGTACACAATCACTTGAATGTTGGAAATGTTTGCCCCATCAATTACTTTTGTGTTCTGTATTAAAAAAACCTATTGATTTCTTTAAAAAAGGAAGCTGAGCAACCTTCATTCTCTTTTACATCGCTGCTTGAATCCATAACAAAACCCATACAAATAATACCGGTTACTACACGGCTCACAGATTATTTTATTTTTTAGTTACGCTGACATTTCTCTCTAGCTATTACTGCGAACAAATAATTGATATAGATATGTATTTTATTTATCAGCCCGTAAGGCATTTAGGCTCGTTTTTTTTACAAAGAATGGAAGCATGTAGTGCAGTTGTTTTGTCCTTCAGGCGACCTTCAGAGTCCTTAGGAACTATGAGGATATTCTCAGGAGGATTCTTTAAACTTTTCTCGCTTGTTTCATAGATGCCATTATCCTAAGTTTGTTGTTTTTCTATCTTGAGGACAGCGGTGATCAGGCAGATAATACGTTCTATATAATAATTCATTCAAAGATGTCGCCACTGTGAAAGTGCACACCACACGCATTTGAGTGAACACTGTGCACTGGGTTAGGTAAGCACTAAGCAGTTTATGGGTGTTAAAACAATCTGAAATGTTGTAGAAAAAGCTAAGTATGAAGCAGCTTATATATGTACACATGCACACTCAAAAAAGAGACACACTGTTAGAGAGGAATGCACTAAAGCAAGGGATTAATAGGCCATAGCACCCTTACCAAAAGAAGGAGGAGAGCTGTCAACCTGGAAGGGGCAAAAATCAAGACCTACAAGGACCCAAAACCAGATATAATGAGTGAAAATATAGTGAAGACAGAACAAGCACAACACGCTTCAGACAATGCAAACAAAATTAAAACAAAAAAGGTGAACAAAAAAGTATTGTTAAAGAATGTGACATTTAAAAAAATCAAGTGGTGAAAGCAAAATTGTCTGAGGGAATTTCTCAACCGATTTTGTGAACCCAAGTGACTAAATATTTTTAAATTCTTAGCACTGTGACTGTCTGTGAGATATATAACGCACCAGAGTCACTGCTTGATTTTCCGAGCATTCCCAGGATGTCTGCATCACTGTTCAGAACATCAGAAAGATCAACTAATGGTTCCTCAGACGTCTCTGTAGATGGAGGGGGAAAAACAAACAAACAAAAAAAGAAAGAAAACCAAATCGTCACAAATCATAATTGAAGGTGATGTTGAACGAGCATGAGAATGTGGTTTGGAACCATTTGAAAGCGACATTTAGAATTAAATCTAGAGTAAATAAGAGAATAAACTGTAAGTAAACAATAGCTGGCATCTGAGAGAACAACAATTAACACTAGAGTTATATGCCAACACTTTTATAACTGATTAAATGGAATGTCACAGGAATAATGCCAAAGATGAGAACATACTAAAACATATTTAAGTTGGAGTAGCCTTTCTCCAACTTAAACATCATGGATCCATAGAAATGATGCAAAATGTTCTTCGCCCAAGCACAGTGATTTCTATGCTGCAGTCTTTTCTTATTATTATTATTATTATCCGAAGGTCACATTTGTCAAGGTTACAGTGTTTTGTTTCTCTGAACTGTTAAACAGATGGTTTAGTTGATATTTCGCACACTATTTCTTCAACTGAAAAATCAGTCTTTATATGTTGTCGTACCACTCAAGATACCTTTCCTTTTATTTTCAAACCACACTTCTAAACTACATAAACAGTTTAGAAAATCAGTCTTTGCTAATTAATGTTTTAGGTTGTAACAAGTGTGTAATGTTTTGAAATACGTTGGACTTCATTTATGTATTTCAGCAACTCGAGACCGACCAAAAGTTTTTAGCAGATATAGAACCCTATCCTTACAATGCCTGACAATTATCTGATATGAATCACACGATGTGACGCAATACCCTACAATAAGATGCAATTCAAACATTAAGACAATTTCAGTTTACTTCTACTGCAGTTTATCTACTAGCAGCGACAGGGAATTCATTAATACTCAGAAAATATTAATGATAGTAATAGATTTCCACTGCGACTGGTGTGGTGATGCTCCATTTTGCCCTGTTGGTGTGCTGCAGCACCAACACTGGGGAAACGCTGGAAGGAGTGCAGGTGGCAGGTATAATGGTGAATCTTCTCCGCTGATGTTAAAACAGTGACGGCCCGTCTACACAGCAGCGTTAAAAAAATCTTCCAACGCTTCTCTGCCCATTCACTTTGAATGGTGTGACGTCACTTTGCCTCGCTTTTCGCCGAACTGCATTGTGAGGAAGCAAAGCGAAGATTTCCAGGATTTCCAGGATTCAAAAGTTGAGCAATGTTCAACTTTTGAAGCTGAGGTGGAAGCGTCCGCCAATCAAATCCCGTTTATGCAAATCTGACAGTACAAGCGCTAGCCAATCAAACCACGTGTAAGCTGGGAGAGACATACCGCAGTTCATTTCCTCATATTCCAAACGAGAAATTACGGTAGCAAATCACCCGGTTCTTTACGACCAGTAACTATTTACCGGGATACAAACCGGAGGAACCAGGCATGGAGGGAGGTGGCAGAGACAGTGGGTCAAACTGGTAGGCTCTCACCTGTTTGGGGAGTTTATATATATATATCTCGCATAAAATCCCCGGGGTTGTTTGCTTTGTACGTCGGGGGCGGGAGATTCATGTGATTGGTTGTTGCTCGCAAAAAATCCCCAAGCTTTCAGACACGCCCACCTCCAAGATTTTTTTAACGCTGCTTTGTGGACGGGCCGTGACTGTGCTTCGTTTGTAGGAGGGGTTGCATTAAGTGTACTATAAAACAGGTAACGACCTTGTTCGCAACATAATAAACACTTTTGTCATGTCATTAAGAGCGCATGACATTTTCATCATTGCAAATGCATAGTTCACTCTGGACAACTTTAGCGTGTTTGCAAAGACAGGACAATGAACAAATGTCATTTAGGTCAGAGCAAGGGGCATGTCATATAAAGAGAAAGGTTAAAAGGGCAAAAGACAAAGTGAATTGGCGGGCGAGAGAGAGCGAGCAGAGAGAACAGAATCAGAACTTCACTTTATTCGGTGTTATTATTATGTAATGTGGAATTCTTTAGTGTATAGATAAAGCCACAGTTGAACAAATGACCCTGTGAACACCAGAGATTAACCTTTGACTCTAGGACTGTTTTGAATGAATGGTAGAAATGCAGTTTGAACATGTGTTTAGTGGATACTCTTTTACTTCTGTGTGAAAAGGGTCGATACTCTCATTGGATGATGACAGTTGCAGAAAGAGGGTGGAGGAACCGAGGGATAAAATTCCTTGTTATACGAAATGCCATATAAAAGACACCCCTGTTGTGTCAGGCTTTTTCAATACCTGCATTGACTCGTTACCGGGTACAAAATTGGTCTCAGTTATCCGGTAATGTGTCATAATAGAACAACATATTAAATAATGAATAATTGGCTTTCTCCGGGGAAACTAATGCAATGTGTATACGTACGTGCTGCTGCTGGTGGTCTGGTTTGAAGGGATGTTGCGGAGGCGCTGAGCAGAGAGTCTGACGAAGGGTCCAGGAAGCTGGTGGGGAGGTTTTTCCTCTCCCCTTGGCTTTGCCCTTCTTCCAGTAAGCCCGATTCCCCCCCCTGGTGCCTGTTCTGCTTGCTTTTGTCCAGTAGGTCCTTTCCGAAGAACGCCTCCTGAACATGACAACACAAAGCACCGGTCAATTCCCTGTGTTGACACATTTATTCAAGGGCTGTAAACTTACCTTTCTTGACATCCTTCTTGGGAAATACATGACCATGTCACATAGAGCTTATTAAGCACACATTGAAGGCCCAAGAGAACTGACCAAAGTGAAACAGAGAAGCTCTGGATTTAACAGTCATGTTGCTGCTGACATCACTTTTGTCAGCACCTACCACCCCCAACCCACTTATACCCACAAGTCTTCTACTATCCTCAAAGACATGTAACTGCAGCTCCCTGCTGCACCGAGACATTAAAAGCCCAACGTGTTGCTACTTCAATAATTAATGAAATGTGCTCCACTGTGTCGGACCTTTAGTTGGACTGACTGTGCAAGATATAGAGCAGCACTGACAGCTGCCGGTGTCTTAATGCACATCACATATCTATGTTTTGGCCAACAAAAGGTGACACTGAGATATCGACTAGAGACTTGGAGGCCTGAAGTCATCTCCAGTTAAGCTTTTGTATATCAATTCACAACCCAGACAGGAGCCATTAAAGAGCCCGATCACAGACGCGTATCCTCTACAGTGAGTTCCTTTAGGCTGTTCCTCTTTTAAAGAAGCTCACAGAAGGGGCACTGTGCACCAAGGTTCTGTAAGTGGTTTCTAGGCAATGTTCATTGGATTCCAAACCGTCCCAAGGGTGAGATAAAAGGCATTTTATGAAGACATGGCATGACAAGACTAGACAATCTGTGCATATGAACAGGAGGCATGCATAACAATAAAACAAAAACGAAATTGAATGAACTCATAACAAAGTTAAAAGTTTTTTGTCTGCAAAGTAAAAATATGGCAGTTGTGATGGAAAATTGGCTGATTTAAAGTGGACCTATCATGCTATATTTGAAACATATATTGTAGGGCCATACCTATACAAAACACGTCTGTGAAGTTTTTCAAAATAGCAAACAGATCACCCATTGTAGCCATGCCTCATACTGCTCAAACCCCTCTTTTGAAGACCAGATTTTGGGTCCTTAGCTTGAAAAAAAAAGAAAGAAGAGGAGGCGGAGCTAATGCCTGATCAGAATTCTACCGGAGATAAAGTTAAATTGTGCTGTGATAAAACGCCATCCTGTTTAAACCACGTCAAGGATTATTTCTGAAATAGTATGGAGCTCAAATGCTTTTTCTCTTGCAGGTTTATCACAAAGTGAGTTCTTTTTTTATTTCCTGCTTTTTAAAAAACACGTGCTCTACACAGTACAGGTTAGCTCTGAGTGTTAGCGAGGCTTGCTAATGTAAACAAAGACGAGATTACGTCCAAAAAACGTCAGGCATTGTGTCTGATAGCAACTTTCTGTGGGTCCGCTGCAGATTTGACGTCAGTTCGGATGGAATCTGTATCCGCTCGTTGTACAGCCGTTTTTAAAAGATTTGGGTACGGAGGAAAAGAGAGAGGGTTTTATTTTCTGATGCCGCGTGAGTTCCCCGACGCACCGGGGACACATATGTATAAAAGACGTCACAAAGTGCATATTGCATGATAGGTCCCCTTTAAATAAAAAAAATAAAAAACCTTTTTGTAGATTTTCCCACAGAGATAAAATACCCCAGAGGGCTTTACACTAGTTTATACATGTGATATTATATGCCCACTCTATTTACACACAGTATTAGTTTAATGTTCGTGTCAAACAGCATGAGTTAGCGGTCGCAGGTGACGGACCTGAAGGTAGGCGGGAAAAGCTTCCTCCAGTTTTGTTTTCTTTTTCCTGTAGCGCTTCTTTATTTTTTCTGGGACCTCTGGTCCAGGGGGCATCTCGTCCACAGGAGTATCAGGAAGAGCCTCTGACCATCCTGCAACAAAAAAATGCCATTACATAAAAACATTGTATACAATTTAATACAGGTGCGAGTAGATATGACGGGTGTACACACCCTCATCTTTTCCAAAGGTATTCTCTGAAACGGAGCCAGTGGAATCCTTTCTGCTCAGGGATCGTTTGGCTTTGCCTGGACCTTGACCTGGACGGCTCCTCTGGCGGACCATGAACCCACCAATGCCTTGAAAGGAGAAGTTACATTTTATTATTATCAATAAATCAAAACCTATATTCAGAAAAAAATACATAATTTAGATGATATGATTTGTATGACGTTTCATTGTAATGGTTCTATTAATTGTCTAGTGCATTTAGCATGAAGGCTCAGAAAAGCATCATGGAGCCCTGTGTACATCAGAGGCCCTGAGATGGCATTGCTTTGCTACATCTACAGCGTCGGGCATGTACTGCACCATTTTACGCTTCAGGGGAGCTGTCTCCTTCAATCAGGTGCCCTACCCGGCCGGTACGGTTTCCTCTTCCTCTTCTTGCTGCCGTCGGCCCCCTTGGAGTCCTCTTCTGCTGGCTCTCTCTCCATGCTGGAGTCAGACTTCGCCTCGCAATCTAGGAGCTCCGCCTCTACATGAGGGAGAGAGCATTGATGATGAGTGACAGCCCTGCGGCAGAGAACCCCCCACCAGGCTCCTCCACACAGCCACTAGTCTACTCTATCTGAACTTTACACAGTGGCACGACATTAGCCTGATTGAAATTAAAATCACAAGTTTGACTATTATGGACCTTCATTTCAGTCAGATTTTTATTTTATTTTTTATAAATGGCCAGCTATATTTTGACTTTAACATATAAATGTATGTGGCTAGATTATGAAACTCTTTTTTAAATGAACTGCTATTGATTAAATAAAGCATGAAACCATTTCTGTTTATCTTATGCATTTTTTTTTAAAACACACTTTGAAGGATAAATACAATAATCATTTGATGTATTTGTAAAGCAAAGGAAAATGTGCTACTAGCAGTTTCAAGTAATTCATTTTGCAATGACAGTAAATGTCAGCACGTGTTCTGTACTGAGCTAATTCACATTTTATCTGTCTATCATTGAAGTCAAATCTTTTTCAAAATGTCCTTCAATCTCCAGCAATATAGAACAAAAGGGAATCTGTGATGCAGAAAACATTCTGTTAATGAAACTTGTCAAACATGTCAGAATTGGATAGGCTTCAAATCATTTTAAGTGTAAACTTTGCAGACATAAAATTATGAACAACTTTAAAAGTCAAACTAATAGAAAAAAAGCTAATGCTGATTTTCCAGGTCACTTCTGAACTGAAGGCCACTAACAGGCACTCTGAAAGAAGAAGCTTGTGCGACGAGACAAGTACCTCTGTTGTCCTCGATGTCTTCATCACGAGAGAGCTCTGAGAGGGGGTCTACAGCAGCCTGAAGCACCGCCACACTATTCTGGTTAATAATCTTTAGCTTCAGTTTAGGCTTGGGTTTCCTGCGCCGTGACGCTGTAGCAGACAAGCTCTGGAGCTGGCAAAGCCCCGACTCTGTCAAACAAACACCATCCTGGGTGTAGGTCCTCGACAGATCTGAGAAAACAAAAAAATTGCTAGAATGAGCATTTACTGTAGAATCTAAAGTAAAATCATCATCATTTAGAGACAGATATTTTCTTTATGTTGCCATTTATGATCTACCGTATTCATTTTGTATCTCTGGACTTACCCATTTCTTTAGCCTTTGTGACAATCTGCGTCATAAGTACAGGCTCAATGGTGTCTCTGGCCTTGGTCACAACTGCAGCAGCACAGGACACAAAAGTTGTTAAAATCAGCAGGAAAGGGAGGATCAAATGTCAATAGTTGTCTATTCACCATCTTGCAGAAGCACACACACAAGAACACATTTCGAGAAATCACTGTGCTCAAACCTTTAGTGTTTTTGAAAGACCGGCACATCGTGCAGTCGAAGCAACTGTCTGCAGCTTTTTCTACATCATCGTCTGAATGGAGACCCTGACAGGATGCATGGAACCATCTGCGGAGAGAAGAGAAAGGTTTAATAAGAAGAACCAATTATCTGAACAAAAAACTTAGTAGAGATCAGCTCTCCTGAGTCGACAGCATTGGTAGAAACTCTGCACACCTGTCACATTGGCGACATTGCACAATCACGGTGCCTTCACTGTAGTCCAGCAGGCAGATGGGGCATGTTGCAAGGCTGGCACAGGGGGCACACTGAGTGTAATTATTCTGCCACTCACACCTTAGGCCCGGGGTGGTGGCGCCACACTGGGTGCAGGACACACACCTGCAGGAGACAGGGAGGACAGAGGTCATTCTACACAGGTCACTTCAAAGAGGTTAACACAGATTAACTGTGCTGCAAAAACCTTGCCTTCTCATTTCACTGTCCACATGCTTTACATATGAAATTATATCGTGTTCATTTCAATGTCAAAAGTATCTCTGAATTCACTTACCCTACATAAAAGTAATCAACATATATGCTTTAAATGTCTTTTCTATTGTTGAAAAAGTACAGTTTCTTTTGTTTATTTTCAAACTGAGATCCATAAAAAGGGTATTAATAAGATATATATTCCCCGTAACTCCTTACTATAACAATCAAAAACAGATTAAACAACATGTATTATTTTTTCATTATTTTAGTCAACTTAACACAAAATCAATTCTAATTTGAATGTTGTTAAATGACGCTCGTTTGACACTAATTCTGCCGCACTGACCATTTGCACTTCCAGCTGTCCTTGGGCACGTTCTGCAGTGGAGGGTCCAGGCAGTAAGTGTGATAGCTGATGTCACAGTCGTCACACAGCAGCAAGCGGCCAGGATCTGTGGCCTGACCACAGGCTTCACACACAGTACACTCCAGACAACGCCAGCCTTTACTCAGCACCACCTTGTTGAACTGTAAAAATAACAATATAGGCTTTATATGCAGATTTGTGAATGATAGGATGGTTTTTCAGTGCTATGTTCTTACTAAACTGTGTGTGTGATGTAAAAACTCAACGGTAACTGTACCTTTATGCCAACACAGAACGGATGATAACACTGGCCACACTGAGCGCAGGCCAAAAGACGGCCCTCTGCACCAAGGCCAAAACTCCCACACACCACACACATGTCCTAGAAGGAAATAAAAAATCATCAGTTTAGAAAATCTAATTCTCACCATTTTTGTGTTGTATTATAGAAGAGTTATTTTCTACAATACAGAAGTATGACCTCTGAATTTCTATGCCACACTGCCAATTCATAGTAACATCTGTCCTTAATATTCCCATGAATGTTGGACTGTAACCATCAGTAAGTTATTGTTCACTAAATACAAGGAAGGTAGAAAGTAAGAAGCAATAACATTTAAATATGATCCTGTGTTACATAATCGACTGCATTACCTGAAGGCAGTTGGCGGTATTGTCACAAGAATTAATGATCTCCAGTGGGAGAATTCTTTAAGCACAGATTTACTTTTAGACCGACTAAGTGAATGGAGGAATTCCCTCACGTGGATTCAAAATGAAATATATCAGCAACACATGTACGGTAAGTATTAAATAAATAGAACACCTGTTTGAGCGTGAAACTGTCATTGCTGGAAAATATGACCACTGTGTTATGCATGGCATTCTCCTCCTCATCCTTGACTGGGTATGGGGTTTCTATTGTGGTGATCTGAAAATCAGGGAGTAAAATACACAAATTAAACAAAAATAACAGTGTGATGATGACATAGGCAGTTAAGTTGTTTTTCACTATAAAATGCACAGACGTAAGTGTTATGACCCATTTGCACATAATTGGAATAATCCTATATCAGCTTTATGACTGCCACCAAATAGTCAACTAAGCGTTAGTCGCCAATTAAACTCATTTATCTAGTCTATTATTCAAAGGAAAAAAACAACAACATCTGGGCGCTGCTGCAGTCGGCCGAAAGACCCCTCACACTTCATTCAGAGCTGTGCCTGGTCATTAAGGTCCTTTTGTTGGTCGGGAAATCCAAAGTATTCGATCTTTTGAGCTTGTATAGGACAAGCCACACAAGGTGACATGCAAACAGCGCAGACAAAAAGTTGCCTCTGTATCCACACCATATAGGAGCGCATTGTCCAGAGAGCTGGCTTCATAATAAAACAGGGAACATTATTTCTGCCCTGGAACTGAAACCATTTTGTGAGAAAACATTTTTAAATAATATTAATAATCATAATATATCAAACGTACGACGAATAGTCAACCAGTCGCCTGAATTGACTACTATTGGTCGTCTAGAAAAATCTTTATTTGAGGGCAGCCCTAATCAGTATGACGGTGTATTAGGGCTGCACGATATTGGAAAAAACTGACATTGCGAGAAAACATACAGGAATTGAAGAAAAGACAGTTTTCTTTCCCGCAAACCATCCTTTCTTGAACTTTGATGCTATACAATTGGTATTTTTTAAACTATATTTAACCGGATGAAGGATTTTAGTCACGGACGTCTGGATCTTAAGTTATCAGAGCAACAAGCTGAGCTAGCTCGGTTAGCAGTGCCGAACTGCCCTGGAGAAACACATGAAACTACTTTATTCAGTGTTTTTACCTTTAATCACCCGGTCCGTTTGCTTTGGAGATTTGATTGTGATTGGTGGTTTGCTGTGCATGCAGAGCCTGCATGTCACTCACTCAAGTACCCCTGACATGAGAGCCGCGCAAGTTATCCTTTTGTAGCAAGCAGCAAAATAATTGTAACATGACGTGTTTGAGTTAATTTGCCTACTTAATATCGCAAGTTTTTTTTTTTTTTTTAAAGGTTGCACGTCCACGCGATGTGAATATTGCGATTATCGTCACGACACGATATATCGTGCAGCCCTAACCCTACATCAATTATAACTCTGTTTTTCTTTTTTTGTTGCCTGCTTTTCATCTAATAATCAGCATTTTAAGTCCAAGAACCCTTCCAGTTAAGTGGTGTGTCTTATTACTTTCTAGGCCCAGGCCCAGTTTGCCCAGACTGCCGCCCCCATGCCAGCCCTCCCAGAGGGAACCTACCAGCCCCCGCCAGCCACTGCTGAGATGCCAGGATCCAGTGAGTCTCACACATGCTTTTTAAAGAGAATTTTCTCTATTATCTTTGAGTCTATTGTGGTTCCAAATTGTCAGGATAACAAGTTAAAACCTGTCTTTAAGGTGTAAGAGTTTTTTATTCCTTATAATTTTTTCTCTTTTCCCTTTTGACTTCTGCTAGAAATGTGTTGGTGTCTGTGTGTGGGGGGTCTGTGTTTCTGAGCCTGTGCTATTCTCAGGAGCAGAGCAGCTCCGTAGTATTAGGGAAGGATAAAGACGAGTTGAGTGAAGGACTGGGATAGGAGGAGGAGCTATGGGCCCCCCACGGCTGTGACTTGTGTTTTTGACTCTTTATAAATGTCTTTCTGAGCTTGTTGGAAAGCAGATATGCACTTTGCTATAAGCCAGGCTGACATGGAAGAACGAAGAGAAAAGGAGGATTCACCCTCAAAAGATTAGAAGTGGGTAGCCTATAGGCAAATGGACCTTAAAGAGGACTCAATGCTTCTCCTGTTCTCCCACTCATTCAGTTTCTCTGTTTGTGGGCTTTCTGCCTTTAGTTTTTACCTCAGCTGAGCGAGCTATGAGTCACCATGGAGACTGGCTCTGGCAGTTGTGCTGGGACAGGGCATGATGAGAGAAAGGGAGAGGAGGAGGAGTTGATTGGAAAATGAAGGAAAAGGGAGACACCCAGTAAGCTAGCGGAGAGAGGGAGGAGTTTGTTTGCAAGGGGGACTGTTTGACATCATCATTGGACCACAGCCACCCAGATAAGCTAATGCTTACAAAACATGTATTCTGGTTATATAAATATATAAATGGTTATAGGGAACCAATATAAACACTGATTAAGTTGTTATTCTACAGCAGGGGTGGGGAACCTTTTTCCTCTCAAGGGCCATTTCAATTTTTTCAACATCCTCCGAGGGCCATACAAATGATTGACCTCTGCTTAAAAAAACTAAAATCACAGCTCATTCATTTTGCCTTTCTTTCATGCTGTGCAAAGAAAAAGCAACCTCTGAATCCAGATATCTTACCTTGACTCGCGCATGCATGCATGCATTCAAGTGCACGGTTGTGGGATGACCACCAAAACAGAAAGATATGGACACAAGATGTGTGCAAATGTATTTAGTTTCCTATCCATGTGAACATGATTTAGGTGCTGCTCACACGGGAACGTTTGCGTTTGTGCACAGTATGCGTTTTCAAAAAAGTCTTCCGTTCACACGTATTCGTTTCATTTGACGTGTCTGTTCCATAGAGGTCTGTTCACACGAGAACGCTGAAACGCTGTAGTACATATGCCGGGCCTGTAACTGGCGCTGTAACTTCCGCCACAAAATACACCAAAAGCAGCGAAGAAGACCCCGGAGCATGGTTGTCATGGTTGCCCTTCTGTTTATGCTCCGCGGTGGATTTAGCAACATGTAGTAGTTCATGTAATTCTCCATGTCCACTTGTTGCTGATGGTTGTGGTAGAGGAGCTGTAGATTTTGCACTAACATCTGTAGCATGGTCGAGCTGTAGATGTTGTACTAACATCTGTAGCACTAGCAGTAGCTACTGACAGTAGCTACTGACCATGCTACAGCAGTGAGCAGCAGAGGTGGGGAGAGGCGGGGCTATGGCTTCCTCTATCGGGAAATGATCGTATAGAGGCGATTACATAGAGCCGTTGTACCCCCCAGAGAGTTTAGTTTGCAAATCTATCCACCTTGGGACCTGTTATTGTTTGTGGGGTCCGTTTCTATCGTTTTGTCACGGCCTCCTGTAAATGAAAGGGCTATACGCAAGATAAACTATGTGGATCCAGCCTGTTTTGTTCTCGTGTAAACGGGGTCTTAAGTGGGGGGGGGGGCCTAACCTCCTCTAGGGGGGTCCGGGGGGCATGCTCCCCCAGGAAGATTTTGTTTTTAAATGTTGAAGTTAAAAGCATCAATCTGGTGCACTTTGAGAGCAACATTAGGAGATCTAAGGATACATCTCTCAACATCCATATGAAACAGAACTGGAAGCAGATTTATTTTTCTTTATGGATATTTTACAAATCATTCTCCTTTCAAACTGTATTCTTGTTTATTAATAACCACTTTTTTTTACTGTCATATAGTATTTTATACCTGTTCAGTTTATTCTCTTATTTTTTTATAACTATAATGATCAAATAAAGATGTGCCTCTACCTCACTGGTTGTAGATAAAGCTTCTTATATTCGTTAGCATAGCTAGCTAACCAGATGCTAATAACAACAAAGTTATTGTCTGTATGATCAGTATGACAGATGAACAGATCACCACTGGGCTTTCAACTAAAGACACAGCCAGGCAAAAACTGCGGCATGTGTACGGCTCCTTATCTGAAGTGCCGGAGCGGCTTTCTTGTGCTCTCCGGCAGAACCACACCCCTGTCAGACGAGACATATACCACGTGATGACACGTTAGGCTCGTGTTGTGTTCAAGGAACCTGACCTTGGCTAGGAAAAAAAAACAGGCACTCGCTTGTTTAATTCTTTTGCGGTCTAGATTTATTAAGTCTTTTTCTTTTTTGCGTGTGTTTATAAATGACCTCGAGGGCCGTACCAAATGGTCTCGCGGTCCGTATACGGCCCGGAGAGGTACATGATAGGGATGGGGATAATTCAGGAGAGCACAAAGACATATATGTAGAAAAAAGTGATCTGAAAATTGAAACACAGTCAGTGGAGGTGTACCGGATGAATCATGGTCTCTATCATTTGGCCAGCAACATGTGGGTGTTTCTCTTAATGTTCAGTACCATGCAGCTGTACAGTGAGTGCATTCTGAGTGCTGGGGTGGAGTGTGTATTTGGTTGAAGTGACTTACTCACACCATGTTGACTTTAGGCCTGACCCCACCTGGTGTAGTCATTGCACTGTCATTCGTGTGGAAACCAAAATAAATACTCAATATAAATATGAGTATTGACTTTAAATCACTGAGCTTCATCCTGATACTGTGTGTACATTATGTTGGTTAATGAGTGTGGGAATTTAATTATTAATGTTATTTGCATTATGCATTGTTCCCCTAATAATACATGTTAAATCTAATTGTACAGACCATATTGATATTTTTGCTTTTGTGGAAGATGTTTGGTTAGATCACTGGTCCTTCATAAGGTTAAAGATATCTATATCAAATCCTGCGCAGTGTGATAGTGTACATTCATAAAAAAACGGAGTAACCAACCACTGTTCAAAACATGTTTGAATTGCCATAGACAACTTCTGTTATGTAATGTGTTATACAAGAGCAAGAGTCAACAACCTGCTTTAAACTCAATGCCAAAGTCAGCATGCTTACATTCTCTTCTCAGCAATAAACACAAAGTACATTTGAGGATGGTGACATGGCATAGGTTTTGCCTTGTTAAGAACAGAACTGAATAAAATGTTAACTGATGATCGCTATAGATTAAACCCATATACCAGTTAATCCTAAAAGATCGTAAATGTTTGAACCTAATGTAAATCACAGCGGTTAAAATATTTCATTAAAAGACAAAAATGTCAACCTGCTGGTTATGCTTAATGACAAATCAACAGAATCACCAAAGTCATTAGGATTCATCATCTGGGGACTATGAATATCTGTATTTGATTTCAAGGAAATCCATGTAATTATTGTTCAGATATTACTGCTTGGATAAAAATTGTGGACCAACTTTGATATTGCTATCCCTAAAGCCACCCAGCTAAAAACATAATACCAGCACATTCTGACCAGTGTTTATTATAACTATAATAACTGGACGAACTGTATCAAATGCTGGGCGGAAAAAACAAAATACTGGTGAATGTTTGTAGTACTGAAGAAAGTAATTGAATTGTTTTCCAGTTATGGCAGTTATAACAGCTATATATGCTACAATCAAATTAGAATGATATTTGCTAAATTGCAGGTCAAATGCTTAATGAAAAATGACCTTAACAATTTGACACATTCCCAAGTGTGCGCTAGACGGGCAGTTAAAAGACAAAATGTAGAAGTGCTTCCTTGTTACTGGTTGAACATGGTGGAAAAGTCACCATAGCCCCCCATATAGGGCTGTTCATTTCCCCCAGTGTAATCATATACTGCACGTAGAGGCTCTTTAATACTTTCCAAGCACGGAAAACACTGTATATGGGTAGTTTAATCAAAATAAAAACTGACTAACATGCACATCTTCATGTATGTCATTTTGCAGCCACTGCCTGATATATTTAAGGATTTTTTTCCTACCTCTGACTATACTACTCTCCTTGCATGTCCTTTCTTTACCTTTGCCAGGATAAGTGCAGTCATCATTGCTCTGCTGCAAGGGCAACAACAGGCTCTTGTTGCCAGAAAAGTGATGCAGTCATGCAGGCAAGACGAGGGACAGACAGTGAAGTAGACGAGAGGACAGAGACAGTAAAACCACAAGACAAAGCTTAATCCTGACTTTGTTTGACATAATATTTTATTTTGTGTCAGAATTTAGAGCTTGGTTAATATCGTGAGACTCAAGTATTCCTAACCCAGCTTTTTTTTTTTACATAATCATAAGATGATCGGGAGCTACCTGACCGGTTTGAGGCCTCATTACTTAAACACTTAAGGCCTTTACAATTCACAAAACAATGTCATTGTTATATTTCAAGATTAAGACATACATAGATCATAGCCAAAGACCGTATATATCATAGCCAACCCTTAGACAATAAAGTGGCCTTTACGTCATAGCAAGGAAATACAAAAAGATGCTAGGAAAGCTTTACTGCACTGCAACACAGCTTCTTATCAGCATTATTTGAATGAAGGGCTAAATGTAGCTGCGGCATTACCCTAATGTGATGGAAACAGTGAGATCAGCTGATAGAAAGGTGTGCCCATTATATCAATGCTTGTACACGTGTGAATTAAAACCATCATAAAATGTAATATCAGATAGAAACGACTTCAGTGCTGCAATGTAGATGAAATGCTAATAGAAACCCTGTGTAGGAAGTAGATGTAGGGGTATAAGCAGGGCATATATAACATACTATATATACCATATGTATTCATTTATTCATTATGTAACATTTAATCATTTCTTTCTCTGTTCTTTCTACCCTCACACTCTACTTCTTCCACCTGCTCGGCCTCTCCATCTTTCTTCATCTCATGTTTTTTACCAACTTCTCCTCCTCCTCCTTCCATCCCTTATTCTGTTCTCGCAGGCTTGTACCCGAACCTGGAGGAGCTGGGAGACTACATGGGTCTGGCCCTCAACAGTGATGAAGTCCAGAGGAACCTGGCTTTGGTGCCTGTGGCTGACAACGTGAGTATTAGTGTATGTCCCGGGGATGATTGTCAAAGCATCACAGACATCTGACTATGACAGAAACAAGCCCCGAGCATCAGCACTAAACAGACTCACACATCTCCCTCTGGAGCCAGAGAAATAATAACACTTCTTTTAAACATGCAGTTACACTTGGGACACACCCTTGATATCTTGATATATTCCTTCCAAAAAGTATTGTGTTTAAAAAAGTATTTTTGTAAGCAGACGCAAAGTTAGCATCGCAAGGGGCTCCCTCTGATACTTACACGTTTTGCTCAGTAAGATAATCTCCACATATTAACCCAACTTTAGGATTTTTGAAGTGTAAATGTTATCACTAATCTCTGTGTTTTAGGACTCATACTGCACCACTATCTTTGTGTCAAAAAATAAAAGCCATGTTATAAAAGATGATTCTGAGATTGAGCTCTTCACTCCCCTGTGTGTGTGTGTGTGTGTGTGTGTGTGTGTGTGTGTGTGTGTGTGTGTGTGTGTGTGTGTGTGTGTGTGTGTGTGTGTGTCTTCATATGAGCTGTCTTTGAACCATCTGTGTTCTGCCATTGGCTAATATCTTCACCTATACTCATTTCTTTCTAATGGTTTTTAGGCTCTTCATTGTTAGCGCTGAGCATATTTATGATCCAGTTTTCAAAAGAGCTGCCTAAAGCATTCCTGATCTCACCCACTGTGGAGGAGGAGATGAAACTGAATCCTCCCACATGCCTTTCATTTGATGCAGCATTCCTTTTTATCTCCAGCTGCATTTTAATGGAACATGCTTCCTGAATCCTTTTTTTTCTTTTCCTCTCACCTCTGTCTCACCCCCACTCAATTTCTCTCTTGCTCTCTCTTTTACTTTCTCACCTTCCCCACTGTCTGGCTACCCCCCCTCTGCAGCAAGTGGCAGTGCCCTCCAACTCAGGCTACAGTGGGATGGTGCGACCTGTGACGGGGGCGGACGTCGGCATCCGGAGAGCAGAGATCCGCCCCGGGCTGCGGGAGGTGATCCTCTGCAAGGACCAGGACAGGAAGGTGGGGCTCCGGCTCCGAGCCATTGACAACGTGAGTCAGCATCACACACACGCACGCACGCACGCGCGCGCCTGCCCTCTCATGAATTATATAGCCACCTACTGTCATTAACACCCCTTGACAACGTACTTCCTTCTTCTACTCTTCCACATAATATCTGTGTCAAACTCTGCTTCACTCACAATGCTTTACTCTTTCTAGAGCATCAAGATCTGTCATGTTGATCACTAGGGGTTTTAGCAATGCTAATTCAAGTAATCTCCTATTAGTCACCTCTTTTTCTGGCTGTGTTGTTATTGACAGGGATATGTATTCATTTAATTAGTTTTGAATGCAGGCAAACTTGTGAAAGCATCGTGTCAGAGTGGATTAGCCAGAGTATCAGGTTAATAGTCTTGTAAACAGATACTGAACAAACATACAAAAGGTATCACTTTGTCATCTTATTCCAGTATAGGAAATGGTGGACAACATGCACAGTCATCTTTCTGTTATGCAAAAAACGTTAAAGCTTATGCGGGGTTTCGGTATTCCCAGTTTGTCATATTAAGAAGGGATTTTCCTGACTCACTTTTGGTTGCTTAACCTCCCTGCAGCCCAGCAGGGACACATCCTTTAACAAATATTATACAGAGTGACAAGTCAAACGTTCTTTAGCTTACTTCGCTAGCATAAATCTTTCCTAAGGTCAACTCACAAAAAAGGGGTATCACTGTCTTTACATCAAAACGTGCCGGAAGTGCTGTGTTACTGTTGAATTGTAGATTTATCTCTAGATGGCTTCAGCAAAGGAACAGTGCACAAAAGTTGTTGTGCTCTTTCTGTGACAGTTCTTGATGAATAGTGATAATTAAGTCAATGTTTTATATGTTTTGCAAAGAGACCTGTTTCTTTGATGATGTAATATACCTGGGACACCTGCATTGGCTATAAAACTGCAGTAATTACAACACGGTTAAGTTGGCAACCACAAAAGGGACATGGTGATGTCTATTATCAGTGCCAATGAAGAATGAATGTACTCTAGGCAAAACATAGAGTGAATTTTGATACTTGGCCAGCTTGCAAGTGGTAACAGGCTCTTGAAGTAGTTAATTATTCAGTTTGTGTTAACTCGCACTATTGCAGCCTTTAAAAAGACTGGAATGAGTCGGCACTAAAGAAAACATTCAGTGTTTTACTTGAATGACACGGCACACTTAGCTTAACAGGGTATTGAAGCCTCAAAATGAAAATCGTTTTTGTTGCGGGAACATTATGTAACTGATAATATGAAAGATGACAAATCCTGACAGTTCCGTGTAGTTTAGTTGTTTCCATATCTCTTCTCGCTTTAGGAATGTTTTATCTCCTCTGTGTCCTTGCCTTCTTCCTCTGAAGTGTCTCTTTTGTTTTCTCTCCACTATCGCCGTCCCTCTTCATTTCCCTGATCTCATTTTGACTGTTTTTTGGGTTTCCTGTCTCCTCTCTCAGGGAGTGTTTATCCAGCTGGTGCAGGCTAACTCCCCCGCGGCCCTGGCTGGCCTGCGTTTCGGGGACCAGGTCCTTCAGATCAACGGGCAGAATTGTGCCGGCTGGAGCCTGGACAAATCCCACAAGGCCCTGAAGGCGGCGGCCGAGACCCGCATCGAGCTGGTGGTCAGGGACAGGTGAGGGGACGCCATTATCACAGTGTCTTTTAAACCCTATATCACTCAGCCTAATTTTTAATGCCGACCCTGATGTTCACACATCACCAAGGCTCCCTCAACAATTTCATTTTATCATTTGATTTTGGAATATTGTGACAAGTACTGAGACGGAAGGCATTCAGCATCTAACCAGAAGTGCAAATAAAGCAGTGAAGTGTTATTTATAGTATAATATAAGAATATACATATAACAGATATAAAAAAGTATTAACAGTATGAGCAGTATGTATTGGAATAACACTATAAACAGTAGTGTAGAAATATAATACAATATGGAGCTGGTATACTGCGGACACTAAAGACAGAAAAAAGATGAGAGTTATTGGCATTTATATAAATAATATGAACAAATATGAGTATGCTATAGAAAATATGGAGTGTTACGTTTTATTCCTAAAAAGTTGTAGTTGCAGTTGGTTTCTCATTGGATGCTGAGAGGTTTGGCTCCCTCTGCTGGAGGACTTACACTTTGCTCTCTTTGAGTTCTGTCACAAACGTTATCAAATCAAGTTTATTTGTACCTTGTATGTTCCCATCTGTTTATTTATACAATTATCCAGATATACTTTGTCATTTTCAATAAAAGAGTCTCAGGATAAGGCTCTTTATAAGCTGTACACAGTGGATAATCCCTGTCTGTTTCTCCAGGCCCTTTCAGCGCACCATCACCATGCACAAAGACAGCTCCGGACACGTGGGCTTCATCTACAAGTCCGGCAAAATCACCTCTCTGGTCAAGGATGGATCTGCCGCCCGCAACGGCCTGCTGACTGATCACTACATCTGCGAAATCAACGGGCAAAACATCATTGGACTCAAGGTCAGACACGTGTTTCTTTATCTAAATCTTTTGACCAAATAGTCATTGCTGATATAAACTGTTTACTGAGTGCACAAGACCAAATGTGTTGGACCCTTTATTGCATTGTGGAAAAACAAGGAATTATTAGGAAAATTAGGATACATTCAGAACATGTGTGATGTTTTAAAATGCTTTCTGGCTAATTTGAATTTTGCATTGGGATGGCTGCTTGCATACCTGCAGAATATAGCGTAACAAAAGGAGTGTGCAGCGGTTTTGAGTAAGTGAAGCATCCACCAGCTTCAATCTGTTTTCCAATGTGAAGTGAAGCTCAATGGTGTTTAGCTTTTTGTCAGTAATGCATCCATAGTTTGCTTTTATTCCTGTGTTTTCTCTGGTAGGCGTCTAGTTTCACCCGCCCTGTGACAAAGGCTTTTAATGTTATTAAGCCCAAATATTTAAGAAAACTATGATGTGTTGATTATCCATCAATCACATGAGGTCCTCACATGTCACTGTTCCCGTGTAAAAATTCCAGGATTCTCAAATCAAGGACATTCTCTGCACCTCTCCGACCGCCATGACCATCACCATCATGCCCAAGTTCATCTATGAACACATGATTAAGAGGTAAGGCATTTCAGTTCTGGTGTAGTGACCACGTCAGGTGTTTGCATCTCTTTGTCCTCAGCATGAACACAATTCCAAAAATGTGGAAGTCAGCTTATGTCCTTCCTCTACTAAAAGGTGGGGAAGCTACTTTATTAAATAATTATAGGCCCATCTCTAAATTGTCATTTCTGGCCAAGGTTCTTGAAAGCCTAGTGAGTGAGCAGGTAAAGGTGTTTTTAAGTAACAATGACCTACTATGTAAACATCAGTCAGGTTTCAGAAAGCAACATAGCACCATCACTGCGACAATGAAAGTGGTGAATGATATTGCTAATATCTTAGACAAAAAGCAGAGTTGTGCAGCTCTATTTATGGATTTTTCCAAAGCTTTCGACACATTACAAATGGTTTTAGGTCCACTTTTATTCTCCATCTATATCAACAGTTTAGGTCAAAATGTGGATGAAGCAACTTTACATTTTAATGCGGACGATACCGTGATGTATTGTGTAGGTCCCTCCATCAAGGAGGCTGTTACAAATTACAGGCTGTTTTTAATCTTATCCAGACGCAGCTCGCGGAGCTTAAGTTTCTTTTAAATGTGGATAAAACGGTAATGATATTTTCAAAAGCCAAACAGACACCGGAGACCACTTTGGATATTGTTACTAAGCAAGGAAAAGTACTGGAAGTGCTTACCTGTTATAAATACCTTGGTATCTGGCTTGATGATTGTCTCTCTTTTAAACCTCAGGTCAATCTGTTTAGAAAGCTAAGGGTGAAGCTAGGTTTCTTTTTCAGAAACAAGTCCTGTTTCTCGCTTAAGGCCAGGAAAAGGCTAGTCTCTGTGACCTTTTTACCTGTGCTGGACTATGGTGATTTGATCTATATGAATGCACCTGCCCATTACCTGATCAAGTTAGATGCCGCCTATCACAGTGCGCTGAAATTTGTTACTAACTGTAAAGCACTTACTCATCACTGTGCCCTGTATGCCAGGGCAAGTCTGCCATCACTTACTGTTCGGAGACTCAGTCACTGGTACATGTTCATTTATAAAGCCATGCTGGGTAAACTACCACCTCATGTCTGATCTCACAGAGAGTCGCAAGTGGCTATTGCCTAAGATCTAGGGATGTGCATCTCCATCACTGAGGCGGATGCCGTGCGCATCTCGATACGTTGCCACGATACGATACATTAACGATACATTTGAAACACCAGGTGATGCGATATGATACGATTCACCCCTGTTGCGATACAGTTCGATACGATTTGATTCAACATTATGCGATATGATGTGATTCAACACAATGCAAAATAATGATACAATTCAATATGGTACGACAGAGGATTTTTGTTTTATTCCTTATATGCAGCAAATCATGAATTAACAAAAAAGTGCTTTACATATTTGGTTCTCTCTAATAGTACATGCGTATCCCATCATACTGTTTCTTTTTTACCTTAAAAAACTCTCCAGAGTACAGTACAATTGTATAACACCTCACAGCTAAACAATTTAAGGATGTATTGCCTATGATTAACAATGTGCAAATAACAACTGCCATAGTGCAATGCCCATACAACTGCCAGCCTGATGTGCTTAACACTCATTCATAGGCTAACTCACCAGTGAGCAGAAAGCAGTGGTTTCTATATGAACAATAAAGAATACAAATAACCTTTCACAAACAGCTCTATCATAACTGCTTACAGTAAGGAAGACATTTAAACTATTATTGGCAGTCACAGGCTGCTGTAAACTAAACACCACTCTCTCTGACAGAACACCTCACTGAGTGATTTAACTCATATGTCTAACTTTCCGGTTTCTCTTTTCAGACGCAGACCCCATGTCGCCTCTTTATACGCTAAGTTCCTCGTACTACTTGTGTACTTTAAAGCAGCTCGGCATCGTTTACAATTTGCGAGCGATTTTTCAAGTTGACCGTCTTTCTTGAACAATCCAAAGTGTTGCCAAACATTTGATTTGTAGGTATTTTTCGCTGCGCTGTGTTTCTCTTTCTCCTCGACTTCCGTGTGTGTTGATAACTGAGACTCTCGTTCTCCGTAGTGGCGAAGCAAAGATCAAAGATCGTCTCTGCTGAGCGTTGACAAGATGAGGGGATTTTATATGAATGAATCGTTTTTTTACCGATGCAAAGACGCTATACGCAATCGATGCATCGCGAGTTCAACCCAAACTGTAGCCGATCTGCACTCTTTCAACCGGTGCACTCGCATCTTGAACGTTTATGCCGGTGCACCGATGCGAATCGATGAATCTTAACATCCCTACTAAGATCCCAGGATGTATTTTTTTATTACTAAAGCTTGTATGTGCGCAGCTCCTCTAGCTTGGAACACTCTGCAATTTCTTTTGAAACTGAGCATTTTGGTTCCCCTGCATCATTTTAAACCTCAGCTGGATGAAATGCTATTTGATACTCCTGGTACTTGTCTTTGTGAATAGGTTTGTAAATTGTACCCCTGTAATTATGTTGTATGACGTCCTTTTTGTTTTCTGTTGTTTTTCTGTTTTTCATGTGTAACCAATGTGCTGCAGGTCTCCCTTGAAAAAGAGATCGTTGATCTCAATGGGATTTCACCTGGTTAAATAAAGGCTACAAACAAACAAACAAGAATGTGTTTTCCCCAAATTTGCTTCGTATATCGCTGAAATGCAGCATTTTGTAATTAGCGTTTTCTTGTTTGTTCCTTTGACGTCATTGTTACTCCTTTTTATGTTCGGCACTAATAAGTCAGTATAGACAGAAAGTTGGCAAGGAAAGGCAACAATGTAACATTGTATTCCTTGGTGTAGACCAAGTTAACTTAACCACTAGAGTTAAAAGCACCTTAAATCAACCAAATGTGAGGATTTATTTTGAACTATGCTGACCAGTTTATGGACGTGATTTGTGGGGTTTCTTTTGATGTGCTAGGAGCTGTCATATGCTGTACACAATGTAAAGCCCCTCAGACAAATGTGTAATATCTGATAGTGTGCTATATAAATAAAATGTGATTGATTGATTTGGTTTTTGTCTCCAGGATGTCGAGCGGCCTCCTGCGCTCAGCCATGGATCACTCCGTCCCCGAGGTGTGAGGACAAGGAGGACCATAAACTGTCAGGATGTCTTCAGTACAGAGATATACCTTTCTCTCTCTTCTAACTCAACTGTCTCTCTCTCTTTCTCTCTTTATACCATTTCCTGCATTACAATCAACACCATTTCTTATCTTTTAACATCTTAAAATGCCTTTTTTTCCCCTATTCTTTAGTCACTCAGTATAGTCTCTACCCTGCTCTACTTCCCACATCTCTGTCGACGCGTCTAGTACTTTTTATATGTTAACCTTGTAGTCGAAGTATTACATGTTTTTTTTTCTTCTATTTGAGTACAAAATGTTTTTTGTTTTTTTTCATGCACACCATCATGAGTCCAGAGCTTCCTCCTCAGTGTGGAAATGAATAATTGGCGGTGACGTTTCATCTTGTCAAAAATGCTGTAAAAGGCCAATATTCAGGCATCAGAGCCCTACTGTGGAGAAGGCGCTGTGCTCCTGGCCCTGCACTTAGCCCCCGATGTGTGTCAATAATCAGAATTAACACCTCATGTAGAAAAAGTTTGCTGACTTTATTCTAGAGTCCAGTGTCATTTTTACTTGGCCTGTTAAAAATACTTTTTAGCAAAGGTGTTGTTTTTAGTTTATACCAAATATTGGTAAAAAAAAAGATTTTGATTAGTGTTCTTTTTGTGGATTCACAACATTTCTATCATATAAATAAGTTCTATGCAGCAGTTTCCAGCCTCTCCAGAAGATGGCGAGGTATCATTGAACCACATTTCCTGTCTCTGCGGTCGAATGAGGCTCTGATGTGTTGAATATGTAGGTACTGGGAACACAGTGTGCACATTCCAGGGGAAGTGTAGGAAAAAGGGGCAGCAGTAGACGTTTGTTGCCTCGTGCAGCTAGGACTTAGCCCTGTTCGCAACACCGTAAGAGCTACGAGACATGAGAGGCACGAGTAGGCGAGATCACAGTGCTTCAATGTGATTGGCTAGGTCAGTTAAAAGGCGCTGGACGGTTTTGCGCGTTAAACTATAATTTTTCCGAGGGAATTGTTTGTGCTGGACGGACCCACTAAGTGCACTTTCCACTTCCTTTTTAAAGGTTGTCTTTCCTGTTTCCATTTCAACAGCTGTGCTTTTTTTTTTTATTGTTGTCTTTGTGATGCCTCATGTAAATGGAGGAACGTGTATGTTAACCATAGGAAACTGCTGAAATTTGATGCTGAAAATCATCCGCTCAAATGGAATGCATTTAAATTGCCCAATCTGAGTTATAAATCAGTGAACCTGCTCGTTCAGTGAACGCCCCCCCCCCCACCCTCCCTGTAATATTCCCTCCCTGACTGATGAGCACCCAGTCGTCAATTTCTACTTGTTATATAAAATGTGCTCCTTTTAATGCTGTTCATGTACGGATGCATGTATTGGTTTAATTTTCTAGGTATGCAATCTGATAAACATCACTGTCATTCTGTAAGAAAATGCTAGAAAAAAAAAATCTAAAAGTTTATATACGAATGTAACCACGATAATATTGTAAAACAAATAAACAGTCTTTCTGTTCACATTAGCTTCAAAGTGTCTGTCTTCCCCTTTAGGTTGTTACGTTTATCTTAATTCCGAAATCTGTTCTGCTTTTTGGGTTTTCCCTTTCCTGTAGTGTGTTATAGGTTTTGGTGCAAGTAAATGGTCTGCAAAGGCTAAAATCCCTGTGTTCCCTCCAGAGGGACTGGGCTCTGGTTTCAGACAGAGGCTGAATAGAGGTGCTGCAGCACAGGCAGTATGAGAAAAAATAAAGGGTTTTTTGAACATTAAAGCATGGAGACATGTCACAGTAGAGGCACTGAATACAAATATCAACCTGAAAATAAGTATAATAAGTCCTCTTTAAGTAAAATAGCTATTTAAATACAGCCAATAAGGAAGTGCCAAAAACTTCAGTTCATCTATTTGCCGATAGGCGATGACTGCAGAAAGGAGCCATTTCCATAGACCCCCATGTTAAAATGCCCAACTTTACAGCAGAAATAAACATTTCTACCATGGATGCAATAAAAATTATTCGGGATATAGTTAGATTCCACCTTAATGATTATTAATTGTTGAGCGAATTGTTTTATCACGTGACCCTTTTAATTATATTAGGTCTTAACGTTTCTGCATAAATTAGGGCGTGGTCACTTTGATGGACAGGTACGTTCCTCACTTTCAGCTAACAGCAACTTGTCCACTCTGCTAGGCTACACATTAGCTAGTTGTAGTTACTGTACTTGACCCTTTAGCCGTGTTCGTGGTGATTGTGCCTTTTAGGGAATGTTGTTACAAATACCAGACAATTAAAATGTCGTGCTGTGCGATTAAATGTACTAACAGAACTTCCAAGATGTCTAAAATGATAATATTATACATGTTAACCCCGGTAGCAGGTGTTTGTGTGCTTGTTAGCTTAGATTGTTATATAGCTTATTAGCCAGCTAAGGACATAACCCTTTATACATGTGTGTGTGTATATATATATATATATATATATATCAGGGTTTCCGCTAGGATTTTTTCTCGCTGGTCAATTGTCCGAACAGAATTTATTTTACCGGACAAATTTGAAACTTACTGGTCATGTTTCAATAATAAGAATAAGAATTGTGTAGCAGAGTTACCGTTAGCAGGTAATTACCGGACTAGGACCGGATATGCTGATGTTTAAAACTCAGTTAATGGGAGTCATTTTTATATTGCTTCAGTTTATAATCGTAACAGATCGAAAAATTCAGATTCATTTTTCAATAAATGATTCAACAAACAACATAATTATTACATTCAAATAAACTACTTGTAGTAGATAAAGTACATGATTCAAAAGTTTACATTAACTTTGAATAATAACACGGGAGAAACTGATCCTCTCTTTTCCTCTCCCTCGCTCTCCCTCCTGACAGCCTGTCAGTTTCTCATGCAGCGCGCTAAAAAGTGGGCGGGGCTTCAGGTCAGACTCAGCAGCTGATCTGATCTCTGATCTCTCTCTTGCGTCCTGTTACACTTCACTCGCGTTTATGTCCATATCGATGAGATCCATTTCTCCTGATCGGCCTTAATAGAGAGCACAGATCAAGCTATTAAGAGTGAATATCAATGTCAATCGATCGGAGCATCGGACATTTTGACCGGCAGATTTTGAATTCACCGGTTTTTATTCACTTTTACCATCTAAAAAACGGCAATTACCAGCTAACGGAAACCCTGATAAATATATATATATACAGTTTAGTTTATGATTCAGCCTTGGGTAAGACTTTTATAGTCTATGGCTATGACGCCCATAATGCTAAAC